TTAGGTAAGGTAAGTCTAGAGCGTTTTCACGAAAGTGACCTTCTTCAGCACTAGGTTTACAGAGTATAGATTCCAGAAATGGGCGGGTTTTTGTGTGAAGGTGTGGAATTTCACCAATCTCCCATAGTTTTTTGAGTGTGTGCTAATAATGATGGCATAACTGTCAATCAAAAGCGCATTTTTTACCAAAAAAAAAACATAAACATATAACAACGATAAGCGCGTTCAAATAGACGCGTTCGCTCGCGTTCCCGTTAGTGCTGATAACGATGTCAATCCACAGCACATTTTTTACTATCAACTTGCTCCACCTCGCTCTTATTAGGTCGTCCAGAAAGTTTTTGCACATGAATTTCAAAATTCATAATTCTGATTTTTCCAACCGATTTGACTGCTTTCACTTTTATGTGAAAGGGTAAGTCATGCTCTTTATAATGACATCTCAGCTGCTTAGTAATGGTCATCTGTTGCATAGATAGGAGCGATAGAAGAAAAATGTTAAAAATTTTAATTTTTTGTGTAGGGTCATAAAAAATCGGAGACTTGCAACAAAAATTGGAGCAGTCAGTACTGTAGGTTCTTTCACCAGCTCTTTCTAACAGTGCAAAGTTTGCGCCGATTGAGCGTCTCCATGAAAAGTTATGATTTCCCTGAAAAATGCCAAAATAAATCAAATTCGCCTTTTGTACTGCTCAGACAATCGCCGGGGGCAGGCGGGCACCGGAAAAATAGATTGCTGATCTCTCGCACCCCGCTCGCGGATTTTTTGGAAAGCAATCAGGACTTTTCGGAAGACCGCTTGCTGAGTTCTCGATTCCTCAGAGATTCAGCAATATATCTGCAAAAGATAAGAGCGAAAATTAAATTCAGCAGGCGGTCTCTCAAAAATCCGCTGACTCAGCAAGCGTTCTTCCGAAAAGTCCTGATTGCTTTGCAAAAAATCCGCGAGCGGGGTGCGAGAAATCGGCAATCTATTTTTCCGGTGCCCGCCTGCCCCCAGCGATTGTCTGAGTGCTTGCTCAGAAATTATAACTTTTCATGGAAACGCTCAATCCGAGCAAACTTTGCATTTTAGAAACAGCTGGTAAAAGAACCTACAATACCGACTGCTCCGATTTTGTTGCAAGTTTCTGATTTTTTATGACCCTACACAAAAATTCAAATTTTGAGTGATTTTGTTTTGAGCTTCTATCTATGCAACAGATGACCATTACTAAGCAGCTGGGATGTAATTATAAAGAGCATGACTTACCCTTTCACATAAAAGTGAAAGCAGTCAAATCGGTTGGAAAAATCAGAAGTTATGAGTTTTTGAAAATCGTGCGCAAAAACTTTCGGGACGACCTATACAATGTGTTGGCTCTTATGGGTCACCGAAGCAAATGATTTTTAGAGCCGGGAAGCAAAGAAGCCCTAACATGCTGTATACCATTCGAAAGCTGAGATCATGGAGAATCGACGTAGGCCGTCGACTTTTTTCTAGGTCTTCTGTGCCGCGAGATATGAGGGATTTTATGTGCTTCAAAAATTAACTGATTTTGTGTCCTCACTTTCTGCTCTCCAAATGAATGCTACGAGAAAGTCGACGGTCTACGTTTGTTAATGAAGACTTGCTCTTTAACACAGATAGATAAGCAGCAGTGATTAGGTCTTCATTTGGCAGAAATCTGCTGTTGAAAATGACCATGTTTTCAGATAAAATGCGGTGTAACTCTCGGTAGAGGGGGGCTAGAAAGAAATCGACGGTCTAGGTCGAATCCCCTTTTCCTGAGCTTTCGAGTGGTATATAGGTTGCTGGGCGAAAAAACGGACCAGTTTTCAAAAATGGGGTGGAGATATTTACTATTAGCTTGCTCCAATCCGGCTCCACCAATGTATTGGCTTTTATCGGTTACCGGAGAAAATGATTTTTAGAGCCGGGAAGCAAAGAAGCCCTAACATGCTGTATACCATTCGAAAGCTGAGATCATGGAGAATCGACGTAGACCGCCGACTTTTTTCTAGGTCTTCTGTGCCGCGAGATATGAGGGATTTCATGTGCTTCAAAAATTAACTGATTTTGTGTCCTCACTTTCTGCTCTCCAAAATGCTACGAGGATGAATAAATAATATAAATAAACATAAATACCGTTTCTTTAGTAAATTTATGAGTGTACCTTGTTGTTTGAGGTACTTAGCCTGCTTTTCATAACGATTTTCATCATATTCTCAGAGTACAATACCAATCTCAGCCCAGGTGAAGGGGGTCATCGGGAGTTTGGCCTCAAAGTGAAGGGGGTAAGATCCATCACTCCCCCTTTCGCAACTATGGTTGGAAGCTTGAAAAATTGACGTTTTACTCCATTCTGCTTCAGTGACCTGCTTTGGTGTCGGAAAACTTTACTTCTAATTGATCTTTGAGCTGATTCGATGGCCAATTGTATGTTATCATGACTTATTATAAGCGGCTAAGGATGTTTACGTCTTTTTGTGTGTATGTCTTTGTGTGTATCTCTCCGTTACGAAATTCGTAGAGCGTGTTCCAGCCAACGTCCTGAGCCCAAATTTTGCATAGCGCTCGCTGTCAGCATGAAGGCTCACTACACAAAAATATGAGCGGATCCGTTGAGTGGATTCGTTGAAAATTGCGCTTCAAACGGGCCTACTTGGCTTCTGGCCAGCAAATTTGGGTCCGTAGTACTACTTTTTGCAGAGTTATGGATATATCTTACAAGTTAATGTGCAGGCCATGGACGTTAGCCTAAGGAAGTGATGAAAAGTCTACTACTTTACGAAAACAGCGCCAAAAAGCATTGACTGTGTAAACGGTCAATTCTTCAAGATTTTCCCTGATCATTTGAGAAGATTTTTGCACAGAGATGTAGCCCACGATGTTTACTGTCCTTATGGCGACTACGAAGCCATAAAAATTCCAAAAACCTATTCAAATTTGCTCTGTTCTTCTGAGAAAGGATTCATCTACGCGTAAATACCGATCTCACACGAAAAACCTCTAGGAATGAGTATATATTTACGAATCATTCGTGATAGCCTACACAGCGCGGCGAGTTTCAATGCAATTATTATGCGGGAATGAGTAAGGCATAGATAAAGTAGGGCCAGTGCGAGCCTCTGCGAAGCAGAGGTGACGCACTGGTCTTAAATATACAGCTGAATGTCTGTCTGTAGTGGTCTGAATAGAAAATTCCATTTCTCAACCGCTGAAACTTGGTACACATACTTCGGGCCCCGGCGGGTGTCATAGGCTACTTTTCTTCGATCGACATCGATTTTATCGATTTTATCGATTTTTTGCAAAGTTTGAGCTACAGAGCTGGGAGTTGGCACAGGGGGGTAATCGAGCATGTTGATTACGAATACAATATTAGTTTTCAAAATTATCAGTTACTTTTATCGATTTTATCGATTTTCTCAAAATTTGAGCTGAAAGGCTGGGAGTTGGCTTAGTAACTAAGTAGGCATGCTCGAAAACAACACAGGGAACATGAAATAAAGTGTAGAAGTGGGCACAGGGAAAGGCTGTACAGGGATAGGGATGGGACCTTTATTACGGTATTTTGACAGGGCCGAGCAGAGCAAGGTAAGCAAGCTAGTACTTTCAATACGCAGAAATCAAAATGTGGAGTGAGTTTTGCGACTTGAAATCGTCTATATCCGTTTGACGCGCAATTTTTGTAGGATTCACGTATCGGATCCTCAAAAAAATTGGCAAGGTGGTCTACATGCTAGTAAGATAATTGATGCAAACCGGCCTGAGACTTTTGCTGCAACTCTCGCTATGAACTTCCTGACACATAGACAGACAGACAAACAAACAAACAAACAAACAAACAAACACCACCACATACACAGCTTTGATGGTTGAGGTTTTCGGTAGACAAAGTTGTTGGTTGTTTAACAAGGAACTCTGCGATTCACGGACCCAAAAGTGAGCAAAAACTCTATTTTCTCGTAAAGTCCCGAAAAGGAATAATTGCGTAGATAGTCAATTTGTCAAGGCTTTACCTAAGAATTTGAGAATATTGCTGCTCAGAAATGTAACTCAAGGTTGTCTTCATCCTTATAGCGACTATCAAGCCATAATGACTCGAGTAACTGATTTAAACCTCACAATAAATCTTTTGGAGGAAATTTTTTTCTTTCAAAATCACCGATCTTACGTGAGAAGGGTTTGGGAATGACTAGTTGTTTGCATTACATTCTTGATAGTTGGCAGTGATGGCATAGTGATAGTGATGGCACCGCGCGGTAAATTCCAAAGTCACTATCAAGCGAACGAGAAAGACAAGAGGATAGTAAAACCAATGTGAGCCTCTGTGAAGCAGAGGTGATAAGTCCGCTCTATCAGATAAGTCCGCAGAAGAACTAACAGTTAAGTCCGCTTTCGTGACAACGAAAGTCGCCCTCGCGCCGCCAAAAGTCCTGCAGATAAGTCCGCTTTCTCATGCTCAGGATAGGCGAACTTATCTGCTGCGGATTATCTGATAGTGGATTTAGGAGGACTTATCTGGTAGACTTTTGGCGGCGCAAAGGGCGTTTTTTCATCGATTTTTCGCGTCGAAACTGCAGATAAGTCCGGACTTATTGTACGGATTTTAGGGTAGTAGAAACAGAAACAACTGAAATATAGAAACAGCTGCGAATAGTTAGAACTCGTATAGTTAGACCTGGTACCACGAGACCTCCGGAGTTTCAGAATATGGAGTTTTCTGTTAAACTGCCCTCCGCCCCGACGGCGATGTACGTGCATACGGGTCTTGTTGAGCAACTCTTAAAATGAATATGCTGTTCTCGAGGATTGCCGCACCGCCTGACCTGTTTATACTAGCGGTGAAGTGCTGCGCTTTGTCGATATTAACACCCCGCAAACTCTAGATAGCGTTGATGGCCCCACGTCCTCATATATTGGCAATCGGGTCAGCAATGCAAGAAAACTGCATTGAAGTCAAATCTAATGCCATGGTGCGGTACTCCTCGTTAAAAACACAAGACTATTTAACCTGTTGAAGTCTGCTTCGCAAATCACCGCTACTGGGATCCTCCTGTACAGAGTAGCTGGGTGGAGATAGTGATAGCTGTAAAACATTAAAGAATTATGATTTTTGAATACTCCACCTAAAGAACTCAATAATAGTTATGTAAGGTGAGCATCTGTTTGTCCCAGATGAATATTGAAATGCTATACATGCCCTACACTTTTGAGAGTATATATGCCTACAGCGCGAAGTATAGAACTACGGATCAATGGTTCGTGTATTGTTCCTACTTGTAATGTGGTGCATTGACAGCATCCTGCCACCCTCTTTGCCATAAATATCGGATACTAGCTGGTAGCCCCGGTCTCACCCGAGACTTCAAGTTAGTTAAGCCAACAGAACTTGTAAACTTACGCCTTTAGATTTCTTCTGACATGCGCATAAAGCGCTTTCAGACTAATTGCCGCACCCTACTGACTTTAAGACTGAAATGGACTTTATCGCCCCTGCTTACATGCTTATATGTAAAAATGATCGGTTGCCATGATGGCCCTTCATTTTCTTAGGTTTGCGTAAACAAATCAATAAATCGATAGAATGGTCCGGCGAGTCGCCGCGGAAAGGTGCTCTAAACCACCGTCGGGGTCGAAAATATACGTGTGCGAAGTTTCAGCCGGATCGGTTCAGTGGCGCGCGTTTCTATAACGAACGAACAACCAAACGAACATCCTCACAGACATTGAGTTTTATATGTATATAGATGATACTTAAAACTTTGGTTTCGCAAGTTACACGCTATCACAATTCCTAAAACGACAATTGAAATCACATTTTCCGTTGCTGATGAGCCTTCTTAGGGATAACGTTTCGAGCAGATTTTCGACTTCATTTTTTGCTTTATCCACGCCTCCTCATAGCGCTTGTTTCAAATATGCCACTTAGAAAACGTAAGTTCATCAATGATTTCTTTTTCTAAACTATTTTTCAAAAACCGTGGACAAGTGTTCCTGGTGCTATTCTTGTCGGATGCAAGCACTAACACGTAAACACTATGTGTTCTATTGTGTTTGCCTGTGAAAACGCGTCAATGCTGAGGAGATCTCATCCTAGGGGGTTGGCCTTAAGGAGTAGGCGTGGCTCATAATCAGGGTTGAGCGTGGGGTCAGGCGCGCCCGGATAAGAGCGAAAAAAATTCAACAGGCGGTCTCTCAAAAACCCGCTGACTCAGCAAGCGGTCTTCCGAAAAGCCCTGATTGCTTTGCAAAAAATCCGCGAGCGGGGTGCGAGAAATCAGCAATCTGTTGAAAGTCCTCCATTCTTGTAACCTGGGCATTCTAGTATAACTTCAGTTAATCTTCTTTGCCGTTCATTGTTAAAAACCTGTACGGCAAAGAAGATTAACTGAAATCAGCAATCTATTTTCCCGGTGCCCGCCTGCCCCCAGCAATTGTCTGAGTGAGGGGGGGGGGTCGTAATTGAGAAGTGCATTTGTTCTAAACTGAAGAAATACTGCGTTAGAGTAAGGTGAAAAAGAAAAGCTTTCAAAAGTGAACTCACAGCTCCACCAGAGGGATAACTGTCGCACACAGCATGCTGGTTAACACGCTAGCAAAGTCTCAGCCAAATTTCAATTCTTCACCTCACAAACACCTAAGGTCACCAAAGCAGCTTTTTATGTAAATTGGGTATGAATTCCGTAATCAGCATGCCGAATTACCTCAACGAGCTCTAGAAACCGTTACCTATTGCATTTTCTAGCATAGGTGTGGTAGTCTGAGAATTTGCTCTCTTCCCTCTTCACCCTTGAACCTGGACCAAGGTGACCCCTTTCATCAAAAGCCGAAAAGAAAATCAACAGTGAGGTAAGACTAAGAAAAGGAGATATTGGTACGGGAATTGTTTGTGTATCGGAAAGGAGGAAGAAGATTTATAGGCATTCACGGACTTCCAGGAGGAAAAAATAGTAGCTTCTGTAGCTGCACAGCGACGTCAGCGACAAAAGTTCCGTGGAACAACGTTTCCCTCTGGTTTCAGGTAATAAGTCCGAGAGTCCTAGTGAAAGGTATGCCTAGTGCTTTCTGGATACTTACGAGTTTTCAACATAAAAATTTCATAAATTTTGTAGATGAACAACTTGTACAAGGAAACAGTCACCGTCGGAACCGCCTCGTCCTCCGCTTTTGTAAAATATATAGCATGTCTGAGATCCATTCAAAAAAGTGCCTGGGTGAGGGGTATGCCTAGTGATTCTTGGAGATTTTCGATTTTTTAACATAAAAAAATTCATAACTTTTGCACATGAACAGGTAGTACATGGACATGGTCACCGTTGGAACCGCTTTGTTCTCCGCTTTCAGAAAATATAAACTTTGCCTAGGGTCCGTGAAAAAGTGCCGGGTGAAAGCTGGTTGAGACTTTTATAGTGGGAGTGCTCAAGTATACGTCTTTTTACAATGGTATTAGGTTGGTGCGAAAGTAATGCGCGTTTTTCTAGCTTTTGTTTTAAGACAACTTTTCTCCATCAGACTTTCTTTCTCGGAAAAGCTTAGCAAACTATCAAAAAGCTTCTTTATCCTCTATTTAATGGTGGTTGAAACGAGCTTCTAGCTTTATTAATCATGACTTATAATAACGGGCTAAGGGTTGTTTACGTGTTTTTGTGTGTGCGTGTGTCTGTCCGTTACGAAATTCGTAGAGCGAGTTCCAGCCAACCTCTTGAGCCCAAATTTTGCACGGCGCATGCTAGCAGCATGAAAGTCCGCTATGAAAAACCACGAGCGGATCCGTCGAGTGGATCCCTCAAAAACTGCGCTGCAAACGGATCCACTTGGCTTCTGGCCAGCAAAGTTGGGTCTGTACCACCACGTTTTGCAAAGACATGGATATGATTAACAAGCTAATGTGCAAGCCATGGACTTTAGCCCAAAAAATTGAACTAAAGTTGATTACTTTACGAAAATGGCGCCGAGAAAAATCAGTTGCGTAAATGTTCATTGCCAAGATTTTACCTAATCATTTGGGAAGATTTTTGCGCAGAGATGTAGCCGGTGATCATCGTCGTTATGGCGACTACCAAACCATAAAAAGTCCAAAAATCGGTTCAAATTTTCATATTTTATTCTCGGAAAAGTTTCATACACGCGAAAATACCGATCTCACACAAAAAAGCTCTCGGAATGAGTAGTTGTTTACAATTCATTCGTGATAGCCTGCATAGCGCGGTAAGTTTCAATGTCACTATTATGCGGGAATGAGCAAGGCATACAGAAAATAGGGCCAGTCACACAATGGCACTCGAAATTAGAAATTCATTGCATCTACTTTTCTGGCCAGAAATCAAGCCCAAATAAAGGCAAACTTCTGAATTTCTAGCTACTGTGTGTTAATGGAAATTATCTACATTACGCACATTTTACTACTTTCTCAGAATTTACCTAGACTGAGATGGCGTCTTGAAGGCAGTGGCTCGGCAAATCTCAACCTAGTCAAATTTGCGCTTACCTGGGGTTTTTCAATACACTGATTCCGAAAATCCACTTTTGAAAGCTTGAAAACGGCGAAAATGACTGTTTTTAATGCCCTTCCCTTCAATATTGGACGAGTGGAGCAAGGTCGATGACGCTAAATCGTGGCAGGACCCAACGGTTATAACGTTGCGGTGGGCAGCCTCCAATGATTGCCAACTTGTCTAGATGCGTGTAAGATTGGCCTGCACGTGTAAGTTTGAGAGCGATTTTCTCGGCAGGGAAAGCATGCTGTGCAACCGGGGTTGCACTGTTTTCATAGTTTGGCGATAAGGAACCTACCGCGTTAAAATCCCGAGCTGTTGGATTTTGCCGATCCACTGCCTTTGAAGGCAGTATTCGGGCAAAAAGTCGATTTTGAGGTTTTGTGCTTTCCCGGGCCAATCCGCCATGCTGAGTCCGAAATCCAAACTAGAGAGCGCGAAAACGGTGAAAAAGGGCTCTAATGCAGGAGGAAAATCAGGAGGTGGGCGAGGTCTTCCCCGCTGTAAATTCACGCTCCAAGCTTCTGAAGCGGTTTTATCGATTTCGCTAGCCGCCCTGACATTTCCATCAGCCAGTACGAACGCTTGACTTGAAATCGGAACCGAGAAGATCGCTCTGGAAGCTGAGAACGTGTCACAGTGGGGAGGACTCCGCCCACCTCTGATTTCCCTCCTGAGTTAAAGCCTTTTTCGCCGTTTTCCCGCTTTCTAGTGTGGATTTTCAGATTCAGCATAGCGAATAGAGCCGGATAAGCACAAAATCTCAAAATCGACTTTTTGCCCGGACACTGCTTTTAACACGGGCAGTCGTTTTCATAATTCTGTGACCCACAAATTTCCTTTGAGGAGTGCAACCGCCGAATCTGTGCATTCCTGTAAGCGTAAGGGTGGACCTCCTAATGACAGATTTTACAGAGTTGTGTAGCTGTTCGTTACGCAAAAAAAAAACTCCATATTTTGAGATTTTCAAGCTTGTGAAAAAATGTCCAAAAAACGGACAATTTTGGATTTTAATTGTTTTCTTTTCGCAAATCCTTTTTGTTTGAATCCTTTCCAACCCTTTCTGTACTACGGGCTTCCGGCTACAATATAGACTACCTAGTATCTACATTAACAAGTTTTGAAGAAAGTTATGATCAGTTAAAGATGAGGTTTCAGAAAAAACTTTTCAATTAATTAATCCATTTCTGCCCTTTGGTGATATGAATAAAGGGAGATGTGCGCTGTATTGCGAAAGGTTTGATGCCTCTAATGTTTTTTACCCCATTGAAAAATGTAGATTTAGAAAGTTATAACATGTCAAAGTGAGAAATCGCAAAACGCGCATTACTTTTGCACCAACCTAATAAAAAACCCTCCATTTGAGCACCAAAGTCTATAAAAGTCTCACCCACCCTTCAACCGGCACTTTTCTGAGCAACTCTAGGCAAAGTTTATATTTTCTGAAAGCAGAGGGCGAGACGGTCCCAATGGTGACTATTTCCTTGTACAAATTGTTCATCTACAGAAGCTATAAATTTTTCTTTCAAAAATTTGTGAATGCTCAGAAATTGTCTACCTCTAGTCACCGTTGGGACCGTCTCGCCCTCTTTCCCGAAACAGATGTTCTTGCATACACACCTTCTACTTTATGGTATTTTCGAAGACAGACAGGACGTTTCCAATCCTACCTCTAGTAGAGAATTGAAAATGATAAAACGTTGATTAGGGTGAATGATGAGAGAACACCACCACTCCCCTCCCTCTCCCCCCCCCCCCCTCCCCATCCCGCACCCCTCGGTAGACATTCTACAATTTGTCGATTAAGTGAAACACTTCACCCTGGAGGGGTTGCTACCACTGTGACCCCCTTCACCATGGAGGGGTCATTCTCACTTTATCGCACCTATGTTTTCTAGTGTTTCCTAACGTCTAAAAAGCATGATTTCGAACATAAAAAAATTAAATATACACAAAAATGTAAGAAGTCTATCTTTTTGTACTCATAACAAAGTATTACTCTTTATCAGTCTATGGTAGAAATTGGACTTCATATCACTTTCAAATAATGGATTGAGAAGTGCTGTCAAAATGTTAGTCACCGCTTTTTTTACTTCGAGTGCTTCAACTTCACCGATCACCACAAAAAAACAAGTCGAGGTAAGCTAAACCACCTATTGTAGAAGCTTCGAGATTTATGCTAGCGAATCATATAAAACTAAGGTGGAAAAGCTTTCCGGTGATAAATTTAATCGAGCCAGGCGCAACCCCTCGAAAGGTCAGGCTGCCTGAGCTTTTTAGGGATTGCGCCTGACCCCCTTAACTTGCTTTCAGAATCCAGAAATCGCTCCAGTCCTGTTATAATTATTAAGCTCATAGCTCCTTCTTGCTACAGTGAAAATTCAGAGCCGAACACCCACCCCTAGGAAGGTTATGGCCCTTTCAACAGACCCATTCAGATTAAAATCAGCCGTCAAATTACGTGTGATTGTAAAGTGCAATCACAGAAAATCGCGAATACAGTTCTCAAAATCTGAAAACTCTCGAGAAAAGGATGATGTCCTCCAAAATGTCACACTTTGAGGGTCCGGAGGTCAAGAGGAGGAAGAAGGGGTCATTTGAGGGCTGTCATGGGGGCGGGGGGGAGGTCGTTTTCGAAAAACTTGTGCCTGACCTCTTTCTCAACTCTGCTCATAATGAATAGGCTGCACTTTGCTGTATAAGCTTAATTTTCGGTATTTTGTATGATTCCAAACAGGATCATCAAGTGATCACGGCTCATTTTCGAAGTCATGTATACATGATTCATGTTACGCAAAGATGGACGCCGTTGCGTCCGACCAAGATAGTTCGTGGAGGAAAGAGACAGCAGATGGTAACAGACGAAAGAGCGCTGGTCGGAGAGACGCCTATACGTCCGCAGTCTTTGCGTGCTATGAATCGCCTATATCTTTGCAAAAACTCACTGAAAACTTTGCAAAGTTATGCTGTTAATCTATTATGGCAGTTCTAACAAGAGAAGGTGACCGTGTCCATTTAGATGAGGTTTACATCTACAGATGTGCCTGCAAATGCTGGTTCGAAAATTATCTTCCATATCAGCGAATGATTATCTGCTGGGGTTATAATTTTCGAAACAAAGCTCAGATTAATCGATGCAAAATTTCCTTTTTTTTGACTGCTAGACTTGAGTCAATTAGTCTATGTACAACAGTTCTCTGCCTAAGGTTTTGTTCAATAGCATCAAGCAATTAGATTACTGATATGATCTCGACTGTCCAGTGATGCACAAGTTTTCTTTAAAACTTTTTTATAGCTTTCAGAAGATATCGTTTCGCAAATAGCAGGCCAGGTTTGGAATCAGCGTTTCAAGTTGCGTCTTGCAGTATGCGTCTCATTTCAAATGACCACGGTCACCAAGTATCATTCCCTCATAAGCATCCAAGTTTCCAGTAGTACAGACGAATCTGGAAGTTTTGAGTTCTTTATAAACCCCAGCTCGCGGGCAGAGGTCACTTGCGCCACTTACGTACTTACCTATCAATTCCACAAAAATGCTCACAAGGGAATGGTCAGAAGTCGAAGTGGCCAATCCACACAAGCTGCATACCATTCGATGCAGCATAGAATGCTGATTTCAAATGTGTCTTCCGTATCTGCAGAGCGCCTTTGTGGGCGAAGTTATGAGCAGCTTTACTGCGGAAAAATCGTCCACAAAAACTGCGAAATCAGGCAGATCACTGCTCTTTTAGCTCACCTTTAGGTACGAGCCATATGAACCGACCTAGTTACACGTTTTGGTCCAACAATGAGCCGAGAATGGCTTTGTACGGCCAAGTTTGACCTTTACACGCCCAATTTCTTAGCAAAATGATGACATTTAACGGCTTATAACTTCGCCTACAAAAGCACTCTGCAGATAAGGAAGACAGATCTGAAATCGGCATTCTATGCTGCATCGAATGGTATGCAGCTTGCTTGAATTGGCCACTTCGATTTCTGACCATTCCCTTGTCAGCTTCATTGAGTTTTGCATGATAAATGACTTTGGAAATGAGCTGTGCTCCCCTGAGGATTCCGTTTAGGATCATACAAAATACCGAAAATATCAGCTTATACAGCAACAAGCGCTGCTATTTATTATGCTACACTATTAGGGTAATAAGGCCTCCAAAAGATGGACAAACAAGAAAGAATACAGATCCCCAGAGCAACGAGCTATGAAGGGGATCTACCTGAATGGGAACCCTTACCCGGACGGGCGATTGATACAGACCGTCCCAGAGGAGCATAGATTCTGCCTGGACGCTGCCTTCAACGAGTCTCTATTGACATGACGGACTTGAGCGACCGAAAGTGCATTATTGTGGGTTCTGCAGATATAACATTAATGGAAATAAACTCGGCTATCATCTACATATATAAAACTCTTATGCTTTATGGTTGATGCATAATTCCTGCACCAAAATAGGTACAGACCGCAATAATCCGAAATATTCTTTCATCCCAAATAGGATTCGATGTATCATTAGATAGAGCAAACTTAGCTCTACAAGATATTGCTCAAAGATTTGCAGCAGCTTTGATCCAAGCGAAAATTGAAGCCAAAAAAGAAAAAGGTCCAAGCGCCCCAAAAAAACCAAGAAAAAATTGTAAGTCCGTCAGAAAAACCCTTCAAAATTCCTAACTTGCTCATGCATTGTCACTTCGTATAAGACATTTCTCTATGCATTTGCTCTATTTTTCTCCCAGCTGAAAATTTAGAAAACGAAGTTTTTCATGTTTTTTCCAAAACAATGCTGAGATGTTTTAGCACTGAAAGTTGTATACTATAGGACATTAGAAGCGTGATTGTGAATTTTCAGCTTTTTACAGCGGCTGGTTCACGAGGCAAAAAAATTTCGGATAAAGAGGTCTAGGTCCGTCATTTCTTGTGAACTAGCTGTTCTAGAAGACTGAAAATGTTAAGTTTTACTGCTGATAGCATGTACTATACAACTGTTGGTGCTAGAACATTTCAACACCAAACTGGCAAAAACATTCAAACTTCGTCTACTCAATTTCTAGCTGAGGAAAAATACAGCAACTGCATAGAAAATTGTCATATACCAAATAACAATGCATGAGAAAGTTAGGAATTCTGAACGATTTTTCTGAAGGACTTATAATTTTTTCTTCTTTTTTTGGGCGCTTGGAACTGTTTTCGTTTCTGGCCTTAATCTTCGCTTGGATCAAAGCTGCTGCAAAATTATAGGCACCATCTTGTAGAACTAGGTTTGCTCTATCTAATGATATATCGCATCCTATTTGGGATATAGGATTATTCCAGATTATTGCGGTCTGTACCTACTTTGGTGCAGGAATTATGCATCCCTAATACAATATTACGGTGGTAAGGCCTCTAAAAGACAGGCAAACGAGAAAGAACACAGCTCTTCACAGCACCGAGCTATGAAGAGCATACTACCTGAAATGGGAACCCTTACCCGGACGGATGATTGAGACATACCCCCCCCCAGACTTTGCCTTTAGCAGGTTTCGACCGCGAGATCGAGCGCGGCAAGAAACTCTGCATTTTGGTTCGTTAGCCAACAAAGAACACTCATTCGTGAATTTGTAGTACATATCTGTAGTTCACGCGTCAAACAAGGTCCACACCCAGAGCTCCGAAAGACAAAGTTCTTAAATTTGTTACCGCAAAAGATTGTGGCATCTTTTTGGAAAAGCGAAGCAACACTAATTTCAAATGATAACCAAATATGACTATGTTTAACTATGCTACTATAATACACGACCACATCGCTATTACAAAAACGGTTTCCTTCTGTAAATTGAAGCAAAGTTGCGAAGTCGCGCGCGTCGTTGCACTATATGGCAACTGTCTTCGATCTGTCAGTCTACATTCAAAAGAACATTGGCGGAAGAGTCCTGTAAAGTCTTTCAAATTGGCCAAACCTAGGCTTTTGATTTCACATCTTTGGACTAAGACAAAACTTCCTGAATTTCAAAAAGAGCCTTAAAAGCGTGCTGCACCATGTGCACCACTGCTCCAAAACGTATCAATCAAAGTTTTGAGAAAATTTACAAATTCATACATCAGGCTTGTAAACATCGCAATCCCATTAAATAACTTTACAAAGCAGGTAAGTATCCTTATGTCCCGACCTAACCATCTAGGCAATGTCTCAAGCAGGCAAAATTTTGGATTTAGTGAGATTAGTACCGAAAGTCAGAATCAACCATTCTGGATGCTGTATCAGTAATTGGCAACTATCAATATCTATAAAAAGGCGGCCGCCTCGTCTGCCTATACAAAGAGCCATGATTTTGCTTAGGCTTTCTACGTGTTGAATGCGTTGGAGGTAACAAGGTGAATAGCGAAGCAAATTTGCTCACATCAAAACTGCTTGTAGAGTCCGAAGAGTCGCTCATCGAACCGCTGCCACTGAAGACTTTCTAAAAATGAGTCTGTTTCGAAATTCCCTAATTGTGATAAATCACATATCAGTTTTTCTTATCGATAAGCCTATTACCATTGAGTTTATTGCTGAAGGAGGTGTCGGTATTCAATCTGTCAAAACACAAAGTTATAACCCTGAGTTAATTATGAATTATCTTTAGGCTAACGCGCACCTTTTTACCCCTTGACAAGGTTGAACAGGCCAAATTTGGGAAGATGAGATGGCAGAATGCTCCGTAACCGATAGTATATTCCTAGTAGGTATACATCGCCCAACTCGTTCTGCACAAGAGACAACGCCACGAGCAGCGCTAAGCTCTGATAACTCTGAGTTTGATGCGCGTTCCAGTCTAGGGCAGTCCCCGTAGCGTGTCGTCCGGGCAGAAGTGTCGTTTTTGTCCGGTACAGAAGGCGCCTTAAAGGCATTGTCCAGGTCAACTAGGGGGTGTTGGGATTTTGACACAGCCTGAGAGAACGGCTCCTGACTAACGCTACAGTTCAAGTGCGGTCGAAAATTGTAGAATCTGAAGCGAGAAAATCGCTTCGGACGAGTTTGCAGAAAAGGCGGCGATACTCCAACCCTGCCCCCTTAACAAGTTTTGAAGTGGCGAATGCTCAAGATCTAGTGTATTGGCCACGTCAAATCTTGTCAAGGGGCGGGATTGGAGTACCGCCCCCTTTTTTGCAAACTCGTCCCAAGCGATTAGGAGCCGTGCTCTCACACTGTGTCAAGATCTCAATAGCCCCAAGTTGACCTGGACGATGCTTTTAAGGACCCTGACATCGTTCTTGCTACCACCCTGCGCCGTAGGCGGAATCCGATGTGCAGGGTTTCTTTCTTTCTAACTGGCGGAGTAAAATAAATAGTTCCCCTACAAAAGCAGACTCACTATACCTACTCTTGATTTCCATGGAGCTATCGCTGACCCGGTGTGGAGCGGGGAGAACCGCCTAACGAACAGAAAACTAGAACGCAGCGGATCTGGCCTGACCGTTTCTTAGCTAGGCATTCGGCCGAAACCGAAAACGTCGAACTCCACAGCTTGGAAGTCCCTACCAGAGTATACACTCGATGTGCATCGCGGTTCGACACCCCGTGTCACACCCAGTGGCGCGGCGCCGTAGGCGGGATCCGATGTGCAGGGTTTCTTTCTACCCTCAGGATTAAGTCTACCCGTGCTTCGTGAATACGGGTTAATCGCTTTGCAGGGTTAAACTTACCGTCCAAGTTTAGTTTATCTCTCAGGGTTCGTTGATGAATACGGCCACAGGCCTCAATTGTAAAAAGAGTGGGCAGGCTAACTTCTGAACGTACACCTAAACTTCTGAGCAAAACAATCCTTCTTGGAAGTCAAAAATACTGTTTCTGTGGCTCATAAGGAAACTCGACACTATTTGATTCTGCTAAAAATTGCTCGAACTCAAAATGATAAGGAGCTAATTCTTAGAAACTCCCAGATCCGATATAGTCCCTATATCTTGCCTGTCATTTTTTTGACACATATTTAGGTGAGACTTAGAAGAAAAAAAATTTGGGCGCTAGTCCACATGGTTGACCCAAAAATGAATATTGCGTATTTGATTAAAACTTTGTCCAGGTAAGCTATGTTGCACGCTGATTACGAATTTCATATTTATTCGCACGGTAGTGCCATCTGGTGGAGTTACGGTAGGATTGCGGTAGGGGGTCAAGATCACGGTTTGCCCCAAACTTCGTCTAGAGAGGGGGGGGGGGTATTTTGTACGCTGAATATGATGACATATTCATTTCTGACGGGCGGCGCTTGCTCGGGTTACGGTAGTGCGGTATGTGGCTAAAATTCCGAATCTGCACAAGAGCGAGGAGGTTCACAAGCATGCTGATGACGAATATCATGTTCGTTCACTGCAATAACGCCTTATGGAGCATGATATTGGTAATCAGCATGTTGAACCCCTCTATGCAAAGCTTTGAACAAATTATTAACTTTCAATCATCTACCGTATACCCACCATAGTGCAAAAAATTGACGCCGTTGTACAAAATGAATATGATGTCTATGTTCAGCGTACTAAATAACCTTCGTAGACAAAGTTTGGAGCAAATCCATGACATTGACCCCTTACAGTGACCCTACCGTCACTCCACCAGATGGCACTACCGTGCGAAATAAATGTTGGTAATCAGCGTTAAATAACCTCCCTAGACGACGTTCTAAGGAAATCCGCGGTCTTCATTTTTTTGGATCAACTAATGTAGACCAGTACCAAAATCTGATTTTTCTCAGCGCTGTGGCCCGGGGAACGGTCAGGAGGTACGATCGGCGCGAATTTCTCGCGAAGCGACTCCGCAAGGTACTTCAGCCAGGGTCCGGCCCGAATCGGTTTCTAAAGTTTCTGAAAACGAAGTCTCCCCTGACTTTCGAAAGTTTTACGAAGTCCCCTTGACCTACCTACTTAGTAGAAGATGAAAGCAAGAAAGATTCACGAGTCTGAAAGAAAAAACGTGAGATAGGAGTGAAAATCCAAATTAGAGCTGAATACTACGCATGCACAAGAGTTTGGCATTGGAGCGCAATATTCAACAATGTGATTTACGGAAAAATTAAGGCAAAAAAAACAAAGGAAAGGCAATGATATGAAGATGTCTTCATGCTCAGGGATAGATTTTTGACCGGAGAATCCGTCATGCTGAAAAGATCCGAAACTTATGTGAACTGACAAAAATATATACTCCAGACGATCTCAGATCGTCTGGTGGCCGTCTGGAGACGATCTAATTTTGGAAAAGGTGTTACTTCACATAAGTTTTCAAATCTTTTTAAATAATCCTGCGGCAAATATTTTTCTATACGTATAGTTCAGTTTTGGTGTCATATGCTTCTGTGTGCGCTGTAAACAAGTAATTTGTTTATTTCAGCCTTGCTTTCAAATCGCGCGCACTTTTCGCCGTACACGATAGAGCATGTCAATCGTGTGATAACCTGTCCGAAAAGCTTGTGTTCCATTAAATGACGCTTATTCTTGGTGCTCGGCCCCGACTCGTCAAAAACGATATTGCCTTTGATTTTTGCTCCACAAACGAAGTCCAGCCTGCTTCCAGACGATCTGTGCCGGGCCCTGACTTCAGCCCTTTCAACAGCAGCGCTCCTGCCGCAGTTTTACTTATAGCATTAAGTCATGTGTCTGCCCCCCCCCCCTAATCACCGACAATCGCCGGGGGCAGGCGATCCGCAAACTCGCGTTTTTCTGCAGGCGCTCAGCAGAATTTTGGGGCCTGGCCAAACCTTCAGCGGGCGGCACTTCCTTTACAGTCTAATGTTCTGCCAGCGGGCAGCAACGCAGAATTTTCTGCAGGCGCTCGTCAAATAATCTCTTTCAGCGAGCGCTGGTCAAATTTTCAGCTGGCGCTCGGACGATTTTTCGGGTGTACGCCGAGCAAAGGTGAGACTCTACATGGCAGAGGAGTCATCGATGGTTTGATTACTCAAGTTTGAGGTACTTTCTCTCAGCGGAAAGTACCTGGGGGCTGCGCGATCCTCCATAAAGGACCCTGCGGCCCCCGAAAATTTTGCATATTCTCGCGGAAAGTCCGCGAGAATGCGGCCACTGCGCCGCAACTAATCTGCAAGGAAACCGCAATTGTTCTTCAAGCATTCGTTCAAAATTTCGCTAAAATTCTTTCAAGTATCTGCAAGCGGACCGCAGGAAATCAGCGAACTATTTTTCCGGTGCCCGCTTGCCCAAAAATGGCATGACCGCCGGACCCCTGCGATTATCTGAGTGGGGAAGAGCGGCGGCCGCGCGCGGCGTACCTCCTGACGTGCAGTCCATACTGCGCCCGTATTCACAACGCTCCTTCCTCCTAAGCGGCTTTTTCATATGTTATGTACACCATAATGGAGGGCATAAAAGGAAGATCCGAATCTTCTTTCCCAATCTGCGGACTCGGACGAGGAGTTATGCGCATTTATTGGAGCGAAAGACTGAATGTGCAAGAGGGACAAAGGTAGTCGTGAAATTTTTTTCCAGCGCTTTGGTAGAGCAGTGATGATCAAGACATTATTCGACAAGTTCTCTAAAAAATGTGTACCAGTTGGTTGCTTCGTTTTAGAGATGGTGAGACTTAAGCAACTCATTTTATTCCAAATGCGCATTCGATCTTTTGCTTCAATAAAAGTTGATAACTCGTTGTCCACAAATGTTCCGCATATAAGGAAGGCATTTTGGAAATTAGCGATTGATGCATTTCAACATCGTACTCCCATCTAACAATAAGAAGGCCACTTCAACCAAACATGCTTTCCTTGTTAGTTGAGACCTCTCGATCACCATCCACATGGCATTTTTTATACTGTACTTATATTAGCTTCAAATCAAAGCGAGACCAAATCCTCTTCCTGCTGTGGAACTCCGTTCAGCCCTACCTTTCGAACAAGTAACTGTCGCTCGCGCAATCGTCGTTTTTTGCTGCGTAAAGTGCATCAGGAATGCCGCCAAATGCCCCTGCTGGCGGGTCTTCACTCTTCCCTTCTACCCTCGTCTATCTCAACTCAAAGCTCTTACATCATTGAACGCGTTAAAGGCAGTAGGTCGGCAGAATGAGACCCGTGGCAAAACAAGGTCACAGGGTAGGAGCCCCCATAATGGAACCTATGGGCCAAAGTTCGATCTTTCTCTGCCACTTCTAACCCCCAAAATTTTAAAGCGAAAGCAGCGCTCATCTCCTGTCCTCTCCGAACCCGCCCACCCCATGGACGAGTGAACGCGAAGCCCGTCATGGCGAAGACGCAGAGTCGTTGCGGGACCTCATGCTTACAGCATTGCGGCTAGCGCTCTGACCGCGGAAGTCACGGGTGGGGGAACGAAAGCCGCCAGGTCCAGCCACCTTTCGCGGCCAGCTGGTCCTTTCGCAGCGTTGTTGCGTGTCGTTCCAGGATCAGCAGTCCGCGGAGGCGGCTGGACCTGGCGGCTTTCGTTCCCCCACCCCGGAAGTCACTCGTCCATGGGGTGGGCGGGCTCGGAGAGGACAGGAGATGAGCGCTGCTTTCGCTTTGAAATTTCGGGGGTTAGAAGTGACAGAAAAAGATCGGACTTTGGCCGATAGATTCCGTATGGGGGACTCCTACCCTGTGACCTTGTTCTGTCACGGGTCTCATTCTGCCGATCTACTGCCTTTAAAGGCACTGTCCACCCAGATTCTCGACTTCAAGGTTTTTGTCGTTTCGGGCCTTTCTCATGTCCCTGATTCCAAATATGAGGTCGAGAATCCGCGAAAATCCCGAAAATCCCCATTCCGGAGAACACACAAATCGGCTTTCCAGAACGGTGATTAGATGAGCGCGCACAAATGGGCGGGCATGGATGGGGAGGGGCGGGCGTGGATGGGGGTCCTCGGGGATCGGCCATACTATTCCTGCTATTCCTACGATTCCTGTGATTCCTGCGATTCCTGCGATTCCCGCACAGTTTAGGCGCCGCTCAAATGAGCGCATGTTGCGTAAAACAACACGTAACACGCAACACGCGCCCATTTAAGCGGCGCCTAAACTGTGCGGGAATCACAGGAATCGCTGGAATCGCAGGAATCGTAGGAATAGCAGGAATAGTATGGCCGATCCCGTGCATATTCGCTATTCCGAAGCGATTTTCTCGCTTCCGAAACGGCATTTTGCGCCGCGACTTGGGCACTGGCTTGATAGGAGGCCCTACTGTTATATGCTGCCAAATGCTCAACACCCTCAACTTAGGGTGGACGATGCCTTTAAGAATAGGCTTCTGCCACCATATAACATTCATTCAATCGCGATTTCTCATGAATGAGACGTGCAATAAAATGCGTGCTGTGCATGCGCACTACACCTTAACACACGCTTAAGATCAATTGTGCGTCTTGCATTCGCTTTTAGGGAAGGGAGAACGTCTCAAAATGGAACTTTTCGCTTCTTTTTCGAAATGAATATGCATTCATTCCTTGTATTACGAAGTGTTTTTGACTGTTTGAAGGTCTCATGCTGACTTCGTACTCTTAGACAAGATTTAGTCTAATTTGTTCTGCATAAGTTTCCATTTTCCATGCATTTTTTCTAAAGTGTCCCAGTGTTTGCCGTATATCTCCCCGTTGTCTTTTCTTCCGTTACTTCTTGCAGGTGGTTCGAGCTATACCCACAAATCATTTTCGGTATAACAACACAATACAAGCTAGGAGATTCCTCTATTAAACATATGGGCTGCTCTTCTGCTATATGACATCGCAGCCCGATAAGTCAACGAATCTGAGTAGGAGGTGTGCTGGTTTAGTCTCCATAGCGTTTTGTAGACGTTCTTGTTTTCCTTCTTTTGAAGCGTTGTGTTACAGGTTACCAGACCGCGAGCACAGCCTACTGGAACGACACGATGGGAGAGGAACGATCCAAAAAGTACCTGCCTTCTTTTTGGCACGACGATGTTGCAATGCAAGGTTATATGAGCGTCATCAAAGTGAGTTGATGATTACGATTTTTTTAACCTGTTGGAGATCCCAAGCATAACAGGCGCGTGCTGTGAATCCCATCGACCATGATCGGAAAATCAAGTTCTGGGAAAATCTCATTGCTAAGTCTTGCGAAGCTGAAGGCAATGCAATCATTAGTGTGGACTCGTTGAAGAAGAGGTTTCGACGAGGCGATCAAATTCCAGCTAGTCTCAACATTGTCTTGGAGCATTTAGAGAGGTTTTTTCTTCTAAAAATTTTAGCTTTTTTATTTGAAACAGTGGTTTGTGTGATGCGTGGCTGTTTGGGATGCGTCGCAAAGTCCGAAAAAGTGTACTTTTTATCTACAGGTTTATTCCCTTTGAAGGCAGAGTTTCGTTTTCCGGATTTTCACCTTTTCGGAATCTTTCCTCGCCATAAGATTTCCATTTCTGGGCTTTCCAGCGCATGAACATGGCGAAAATGAGCTTTTTCGAAGCTTTCAGGTTCGCATTCAGTGAAGAATAGTGCAGTTAGGCCGGGCCCAGAACGAGGAAGACGGGGAGCGGAAGACTTCCGGCTTATCTTCACTGAATGCGGACCTGGAGAGATACAGAAAAGTTCATTTTCGCCATTTTCATGCGTTGAAAAGTCCAGATATGGAGTCCTTCTTTCGAGAAGGTTGTGAAAATTTGGAAACGAAATTCTGCCGAGACTTCCACTTCAGGCACCGTCCACCCAAATTGGGGTTGGTGAGATAATGATACCTAGCAGATGCGGGGCCCCCAACTGTATGATTGCCCAGCTCGCGCTGCCTGGAGTTGCTTCCGAACCGAGAAAATTGCTTCGGAAATCGCTTCAGGCCGCGTTCGCGACGCTGGCTCCTCCCCTTTCGGAGTGGGCGTGACGTTCGTCCCGCCCATCCATGCGCGCCCAACCAATCACCGTACCGAAGTAATCGCTCTGCGGGTTCTGAAAACCGGGTTTTTCGTGGTTTTCGCGGATTTTCAACTTAATATTCGGAATCAGGGGTATGCAAGGCCCTGGAACGGCAAAAAAATGGAGGTCGAAATTTTGGGTGGACGGTGCCTTTAAGGTTTTGTGAGCAGCAATTGCGGGGAGGGACCCGTCATACTTCGCCGAAAAAAGCCCAAAAAAGCCCAAAAGCGCCAGAAAGAGCCGGAACACTTCTCGCACGTTTTGGCGCTAAGGCATGTGTGTTGACTTCGCAATCGAGCCTTTTTGTCATTTTCTGTCGTCCGCATGATAAGATAATGTCAGAATTCTACCAAAAGTTCGTTTCTATATTCCGGCTCTTTCTGGCGCTTTCGGGCTTTTTCGGGCTTTTTTGGGCGAAGTATGACGGGTCCCGGATGCACAATCTTTGTGAACGCTCGAATTTAGTGTGATGGTGACTATTGACTGGTACTTCTCCATCATTGCGTGAAACAAGTTTTGCCAGTTCTTGTGTTGAAAGTTCAACTTCGAATGTCATAATTGTTTACGAAGTCCAGCAGATAAAAAGGAAATGTTGATGTCAACGTTCCATAGGCCTCATCTAAGTGCATCACGCACCAGAAGGCCGCCTGGACACAAGCCCTAGCCTTGTATCACCAATTTCCATGTTATTGCACATGCTTTAATTACTTTAAAGATCGAATTTAGCTGTGGTGTGCTCACACCTCTGTCAAAATGGAAAGAGCAGCATTCATCATGGACAGACTGGAGCATTTGCCAGCTAAGTAAAACGTCCGAGTGGTTGTTTGGTTCTTCAAAAACGGAGAATAGCGTGCGTTATATCCACTTACCTACAGTCAAGGTGAGTCTTAAAATTTGCAGTAATTTCTGTGTGAAATAGCAAAACATTATTTCAGATACAAGCTGACTTGCTGATGAACTTGTATTCTAGAGAATTTCTTTCTGAAGTGGATGGAACGGGAAGCATTGTTGCTTACAGTACCTTCTATGATAGCGCCGGTGACATCGTTCATACAAAGGTTGTCTCTTGTCCCACTGGAACAAGCACTTACTTCTGATTTTTTATACCTTATATACGTGTTTTCCCATGTCAGGAGAACTTCGATGTTGTGCTAGCTTATCTTTCGGAGCGAGGTGATCTTGTTATTGGGCAAGATCGTCACGGTGAACAAATCTTGAAGTTCAGAGTAAGTTTCTGCATCATCTCTTTTCTAATTACTTTTCTTGACCTTAACCCAACGATAGGGTACTTTTGATATGGTATAACTAAAGAAAGTATTGAGCAGTATCCGTAAATAAGCTGTGTTATCAGGGATTTCTCTAGTTGTTTTCTACCTGTGTAATTTGAACAACCGCGGTTGTCCTGTCCTGTGGGATATCTAGTATTGGGGTTGTCCGCCCTATAGTCATTTGTTGCTACCTCAGTAGCAAGTGCGGAGAACGTTTTTTCTTGATCCAACGTGTAGGTGAATTATCGTACGCAAAAGTAGGGCGTCACTATGGATGAGGTCGTCTCGCTGATCGAACGCTTTTTCATCCGTTACCGTCTGCTGCCTCTCGCATACACCAACTAACATAGCCGGACGCAATGGCGTCCAGCCTGTGCGTGTGATGTCGCCTGCACTTCTAAAATGACCGAAGTGGATGTTTGCCTTACTTGAATTAATCTTATTTATGACTCTTCCTATAGCGGAATGCTCTTCCACACAAGTCCTGCTTTCGAAATTTGACCAGCCGATTTCCAGGATACTACAAGCAATGGGCCAGTGAGGTTTACTGAAGCTGATGCTAGTGTGCATGATATTAGAAGAGCAATGTCGAAGGTAGAGAAAGAAATTAATACCTTGGAGAAGAAAATACAAAAGTAAGTTCTCGAAGTTTATTCAGATAGAGTGAATGCGTCTATCTGCTTTTATGTTATAGACTTGATCTCGATTGTCGTACAGCGTTACGAACTGGCGACAAGACAAAAGCAGCAAGTCTGTTAAGACAGAAAAAACGAGCACAGAAAGATGTTACTGACAAGGATAGCCAATATCAACGGTTATTGACCATGTTGGAACAACTTGGTTCAACCAAGGTAGGTTTTTGTTTTTTTTCTCCTATGGTTTAGTGGATTGTTGATGTTCCAGCATCACAAAGATGTTCTGGATGCATACAAAGCTGGAACTGAAGCCTTCAAGGCCACATTGGCTCGACATGGTCTCAGTCCTGACAAGGTCTAGTCTAGGCTTTCTTTTATCTGTAGCATTCTATCCGCATTATTTTAGATTGATCACACTTTGGATGATGTTGCAAGCTCTATAGACGAGTTCCGTGAGATTGAAGAAGCCATAAGCTTACCAGTTCTGCCAAAAGCCTATGATGAAGATGAGCTTGAGAAAGAACTTGAAGACTTGGTTGCGAAACAGGTCAGCTTGCACAGACTGCTTACCCTACAGTTTTTCAAGTCCTTCCATAGTATAATTTTATCTTCAGATGCCACTCCCAACCCCTCCGAATGTCACTCCCAAAAAGAAGGTCGCTGCATCGCTACCTGACGTTCCTTCCAATACAGTCGGTTATCGCGAAGATGATGATAAGGAAGCAATGGATCTGGAAAAGCGTCTTGAACGGTTAAGATCAGCGATGTGATATGTGCTGTTCAATAAAACGTGCACGCTATGAACAAAAGCAGCGATGTAATGAGCAGGGCTCGGCACGAGGTGGCTTACAAGCAAGCTGGATATCGTTTTTGGGACGAAAAGCAAAGGGGGTTTCGTTTTTGTGACCGAAGAGACACGGAAAATTGGCGACGGCGACCTTTTTTTAAGTCGACGTTTCGTTTTTTGAGGGATTTTGGGGAATTTTTCAGGTTTTTAGAGGAAATTTGGTTGAGGGTCAAAGGGGACTTCGTAAAAATTCCCAAAAGTCAAGGGGGACTTCGTTTTTTCCATTTTCATCTAGCCACCTCGTGCCGAGCCCTGGTAATGAGGTCTTATGATCGCCTTCATCTTCGTTTGCCACATTATCGATCGTAATGCAATGTAGATGGCAGTAAATTGCGCTTCAAAATGCCCGGTGGACCAAGGCAATGGCTACTAGACTGTGAAAAGTGTAACTGGGGTTCTATATCGTTGGTCACTGGTATCGTCCGATTACCGTAGTTCCGCTCTTTTGTGATCATAATAAAGCGTAGAGTGCGCAGCTGCTTCTGTTTCCTCTGTCAGATATGCTTTGCACCGTAGGACCGAATTTGCAACACCTCTTTAGGTGTCTTCCTGTAGGAAATGACCTTGAGCAAGGGTGGCGTTGCTCGGAAAATTGAGGAAACCGCGGCTTTCATGCAATATGCCTGTGTTTGTTATGTCTACAATGAAGTGATGTCAAGCCTCTGATACCGGGCGTGGGGAAGTTAAAATTGATAGAGCGGTAAGAGCTGCCTCCATTCGCCGGCGGAATGGCCCTGGCAAGACTTATATGTGGACTTTCGTCCCCAGTTAGTGAATAGTTACACTACTGCACCATTCAATATTCCTCAAGAATTTCCTTACCATGAGCTACTTGGCCTACCTCCCCTCGTGGTCTGATAAGTCGGTTTCAGGGCTTGTTACCGACCGATCAGGATGGAGTCGTGCTTTTGGGGCGTTTGTACCGCCCCGCCCTCTAACTTGGCTGGTTTCTGCTCTGAACAGTTTCTTTTAGACACGCTTAAAAGAAATGTCCGTGTTATTCACCATGCGTAGGCGGAATTAAACAGTTGCAATCTGTGCATCACGTACTATTCCTGCCTGCAAGGAAACAACATGTGCTCCGCGAGTGTTTTGCGCGTACGTCAATCAATGAGGAATTTGAACGCGAAAGCAGGCGCGAAGCGCAATGCGGAACTATGTCGTCGCGATTGCGCCGATGCCAAAGAGACTACGCGATTGACAAAAACCTTATCATCGCTCTATGCCAGCAGCAACTAAAAATTGGCTATTGTATGCCTCAAACTTGGTAGACATGATTTTTCAAGATATCACTAAGCTTTCATTTCTGAAAGTGAGTTCATTCGATCATGTCCGTCACCATAGAAGACGCAGCAGAAAGATCTGAAGAAGCAAGTAATTGTGCTGATAAGGAAGAGAACGTTATTGAGGTAATCAATGCAGTTGAAGCTTGAAGCTATCTATGGCTCTCTTCATTCATTCTGCAGGTTGATAAAGATGCAATATCTTTGGATTTGACTCGCACTCGTCTCATGAAAATTGAAGGATTCGAATTTCTTCGCAAAGTAAAAGCTTTTCTACCAAGATACTAATGCAGTTTTGGGTGCAAGTTCTTTAGATCCGATCGTTGTGCCTAAGATGGAATCTCCTTAAGAAAATTGAAGGCCTAAGCACCCTTACGACTCTAACTGAGTTGGATCTATACGACAATCAGGTCTCTAGTTCAGTAACTCATGTGTATCTTAATAAGAATAGGACCTTCATTTAGATAGAAAAGATAGAGAATTTGTCCACTTTGGTAAATCTGCAAACACTCGATCTGTCGTTCAATCGTATTTGTAAGATCGAAAACCTCGAAGCGCTGACAAAACTGAAGACACTTTATCTTGTTCACAATAAAATTACAAAGATTGAAGGACTCGAACAGGTATACCTTCGTTGAAGTAGTTACATAGCACGATAACCAAAGACTGAAGAAATCAAATAAGGTGAAAAAATCTGAAGGATAAGAATTTTTTGCTCTTTCGAGCGTTTTTGGGGGGGGGGGGGAAGTTGTTGGGCGAATTGATTCTGAAATCAATTTAGTGAACAGTATTAGCCCCCTATCCTCTGTCAAGCTGTAGTTTGCAGCTAGAACGGAACATGCGCTGAGGTGAAATCCGTTGCATAGCTGCGGACGACGCCGCCCCTTGGACAACTCCGCCCATTGACGATTGTGTAGAGCGAAATTGCAGCACCGCACTATAACATGTACACAGACTGCATTCTTCAAATTCTTAGTGCACTAGCATCTACTGCTTCGCTGTTCCTTATGGAAAAATAATGTGAATACCTTTTAATCTACTAGTCTGCCTGGTCAGCACCTAAAAATTTTATAGAGAAAACATGGTGTGAAAGTTGGCTTGCTCAGAAAAAACCCAGCAATCAGTTATACAGAGGTGCTTTTAGCTCACCGAGTTGGAGTATCTGGAGCTTGGCGATAACAGGATCAAAAAGATTGAAAATCTTGATTCAAACTGCAACATCGTGCGTTTATTCCTTGGTGCTAACCAAATTCGAAAAGTTGAGAATTTGGAGAAACTGAAAAAGATAGAAGTTCTAAGTTTACCTGCAAATGCTATCACAGTCGTTGAGGTAGAGTTACTGAACTCTCAATTTCAAAAGCGTGTAAACAATTTCGCTTGAGAAAATTATGCGTTTAGGGAGTCTCCACTCTAAATACCCTGCGAGAAATCTATTTTGCCCAAAATGGAATCCAATGCACATCTGGTTTGGAGCAGCTAACAAATCTTGAGATTCTGGACTTCAACTATAATCGTCTCAACAAAGTGCAAGGCATCCGTCATCTCAAGAAACTCACTGATTTTTGGGCGAAAAATAACAAGGTGGGACCTAAGAATATCGGAGAAATGATAATCTGCTGAGCATGTAGAAGACGCTTCTAGACGATCTTAACAAAAGAAACGCTGTTGAAACTTTTTGAAAAACAAGTTTCTTCATTATAATATGAATTTGTTTGGATTTCAAAACGATAGAAAACATGTTACTTGCAAATTTTTTCTATGGAATATTTTCGTGTTTTTAGCTGGAAGACTGGCAAGTGTTTGATGAACTAGTTGATCTGCCACACTTGAATCTAGTCTATCTAGAAAGTAATCCATTCTCTGAGGCTCAGGATTACAGGTAAGCATGTGCTCTCTTCTTTCCACGTCTCATGTCATTATGCGATTTTACAGAGCTAAAGCGATCCGTCTTCTGCCGCAGATCACACGCCTCGACTCAACACAGTGTCGTGATCCTGCTCTAGTCAAAGCTCCTGTCCTGGTATAGAGTTCAAATGTTTGTGTGAATCAACGTTCACTTTTCTGTGTTTGAATAAAGCGATGTTCAGTTGATTTCGCATTTTACTATCAAGTACTGTTTTCTTGCACCTCGTTTTCGTCCGTCTTCCTTCTGTATTAGAATGAATGTAGACACCACAAACATCAAGCATGAGCAATAGTTTAATATTCGTTTCTTTGTACAACAACCCTGTCTTGCTAGTTTCCCACGCTTTAGACGTTTTGAACAATGGTGACGTATAAGATTGAGCCTGTAAGTGAGCATTGTCAAAAGTGTAGGTATGGTTCACAAAGGTATGCAAGCGAAAATGGATTTGAAAAATCAGAGCAGAAGTCGTGAAGGTCTACTTCCTTCCGGAAGCAGTGCAGATCTTTGACGCTTAGGACTGCATCATTTCACAAACCGGTTTGAAGTTGCAGCTTCTGAAAGCTGTGCGCATATAAAGGATTCTTATATAAGGTGGGAAGACATAATCAGCATCTTTCGAGCAATCACTCAGCTGACTATGATAGCATAAAATACGGGCCCTGTTGTTAGTTTGTAAAAAAATCGAGGAACCGTCAGAGTTCACCGAATCGTGTCAACATCGCTCTATTCGGTTCAGGGCGATACCCGAAGGCTTCTCCAACTTAGCTTGACAGGCGGCTTCTGATTTATAGAACTTTTCTCAGTAAGGTAGGATACGATATACGTCAAGTAGCTGGTTTTCCATGGGTTTTATGAACATTTTTAAATCTTACGAACGTTCCGTTAGTGTGTTACACATGATATTGCTGGAAACGACTGCCTATCGTATACCTACGTAAACAGACAAGCACTTCTGTAGATCCAAGGATCCGCGGCTCAAGCTGAGTTCAAAGCCACTCCTGGATTCAGTACTCACACGTTTTGATGCTAGATATATTCAGCTAAGCAGAGCGAATTCATGCATTTTCGTAAATCGCGGTTTTTACAAACTATGAGTACCATTGATATTCATCAAAGCATACAATATATGGATCCTCTAATCCTGTATCCTCTGAAACAATTGTGGAGGATTCCTTTGCTTCACAACTGTTTCAGAGGATGCATTTGAGAGGGCTTGTAGGGCTCTAATTTTACGAAAAATTCCGTTGGCAACCTCATATGCGCAACATTCCACACTTTCTAGTACTAGATTTTGAATACCGTTGCCAATGGTAGTGTCTGGATACACGAAATTGTCTATATCAAGTGTCATGTTATCCAGAATGCATTGACAATACAATAGTGGTACCTACTCAGTCGTTGCTACGCTTTTCCATCCTCCCCACAATGAGTGCATTAAATAGAAAACAAATAAAAATAACTCTATTTTTTTGCTTTCCTGAAAGAAGTATCTGTAATTCAAACAGGGCGCTGTCACTGCTTGCATGAAACGTTGGGCACTGCAATGAAGTAATTTTACAAAATGTTTGAACCCTTGATGTTGAAAGTCATACGCGTGCATCAATGCTTTTATGTTGACAAAATTTGAAGAAGTAGCTCATTGCCGGCTTGAGACATCCTATGTCCAAATTTTAGTAAATTGTCCCTACCTTCAAGGAACTTGAGTGCTCTGCGCATCTTATGTAACCAGCTAAATCAAGGAAGTCACTGCAGTTTTGTCATTTGTAGATAACTCCGCCAGAACCACTACCGGAATTGACTTAAAAACTTCCCGTATAATGTATAGCGAAAAATCTACAAAGTGGATGATTGTAAAGTATTCGTCTGTTTTCGTTTTTTTTTGTATTGGGTTGTCCAAAATTAATGTCCGTTTTGCGATGTTTCAATTTAGAGTGTCATAACTCCGTTGAAATATCGTATATCAAGTTCCGGTAAAACTTTGTAGCCAGAAAACCTTTTTCTATGCAATGCTTAGTCACTTGTGCTGTTCCAGAAGGAAAATTAGTGTGGAGCGAAAAGCACAAGAAAAACTCTAAAGCAGCGTCCTTTTTGGAAAAGCATTATTTTCAGAAGAAAGTGTCTGGCGAGGAACTCCTAGCACTTGTAGCAATAAGCCATTACTACAGAATTGGCTCTGCAAAAACTTTTCAAAGCTTTTGCGAAAGAGAAAAAACTGCGAGAACGAAATATTTCATTTTTTCGACATTTTTTGAGAGGGTTTGACTTTTTGCTTAGTCTTATAGCCCATTTAAGGGTCCCGACAACTGATCATGTTTGAACCTCAATGTCTCTGTTCCCATGATAATTAAAAGAAAACCTTACTGTATAATTAGTACTCTGTTTAGCATCCTAAGTCAGCTCTGTTATCATGAAAATATTAGCTTGCCGAATGATTGATTTGCTTCAAATGTAGAGTGCGAGAAAAAATTAACGGTTTAATACTTTTTTTATGGATGCCTGGAAATTCTGAAAAGAAAAAGCTAACGACCAAAGCAAAACGTATTAGACGAAACATGAAAAGCGCTATCAAATTGCATGCAGAGTTATTCGTAAGAAGGGCACTGGAAGAAGGATGGATTTGAAATTGTCCCTGCAAAAACGGGCATTAATTTCCAAGTAACCTAATACTCCACTTGATTCATAAGGACGGGGAATGAGTGAACTATGAATGCGACTTTAAAACTATCAACACCAAAATCACCATTTGTGGCGCTGAAAATGTCTTGAATGAAATTCGATTTGATTATCATGGCAGAAGAAAGGTAACCCTCACTCCCTGTACTCTGAGCTTGCATTTGTAGAATGAGAACTTTCTTCTCTCGTTTCCTGATTCGATTACAAGACTCGTCACTTAAAATTTGATGCATGAGTGAACAGAGATTAGAACGGGCAAATTGAGACGACTCCTGAGATTGCGAAAAGATATAGCGGCATTCGAATTAGCATATGCAGTGCACCCAAACATGTATCACACTTCGTGTTTTCAACTTTGAAGGTCGTCGTTGATTTATAAGAAGTATCTTTGCGTGTTATCAAGCAATTCGAAAAGGAAACATCGAAGCAAAGAGAAAATTCATGTCACAAGTGTAAAAAAGCACCACTAAAATCAAAGTCAGATGTAAAAATTTCCTAGAAAGGTGGCGTAACACACCCCATATTTCTATGAGAACATAGTTCTCAAGCTCATTTTTGATGATAATTTTCCAATCATTGTTGACAGATTTGGTTAGAGATCGCTTCTCTCGCTATTTCGCCGACTGCTGGCGAGAAAGCAAAACATAAGAAAAAACTGTTGTCTCGTTCCCTCCATTCAAGAAGAAGTAGCGCGTTTGAATGCTCTAGCAAAACAGCAGCATAGCCTACAGAATGAAAATAAAGAAAAACATGTGGTCGGATTCTAGCAAACCTTGGCTCGAAATCTGGTACTTTTCCGTTATCCGGATCCATTTTTTCAGAAGGCTCTCACAAAATAGTTCTTTGGCCTAAGAACAATTTTTCATAGATTTATGAGGGCTGCCTTCCTAGAATGTGTTAGGGAAAAATTGACAAGCTTTGGTTCATTTGACATGTCTTTTTTTTCGAAATCATTTCCGATGAGGTGAAAGAGCATTGTGATCAGCTAAAAGCTGTTTAGCTGTTTTCTATGAGAGTAAAGCAATTTAGAACCAATAATGGAGCATCTTGAATGTTTTTAGCAGTGATTAAAAGATGTCTTGCCCTTCATACTTTTTCGGCTATGCGAATTTAGCCACGAAGACTGTAAATAGCGGCGTATGCCTCACTGTTGATTGTTTCACCGCTTACATAATGGAACCCTAGTGCACTCCTCAATTTGATAACAGGATGAGGTTATAATTACAACAATGCTTATTTTTGAGATCGTTTAGTCGAAAATGTAGTCAGTATTGACTGGAAATCGATTTAACTTACGTCACTGGGTAGAGCAACACAAACTCTTGGTAGAACCTGTTAAACATGTAGAGGACATGTTAAATTTTTTAGACACGTAGCAAAAGGTTGACACTCCTTCCTTTGAGGTTGGGATGAACTATGCTACAAGCAAAGAAGCAATATCTCTTTTTGAAAAAATGGGTCCGGATAACGAAAAAGTACCCGAAATCTTTTAGGCAGAATTATCAGAGCATACCAACATTTTCAAAATGCAAATTGAACTCAAAGCAAGCTCATTTGACACCGATCCATGTAACTAAGGTAGGAAATTATCTTAACGTTATATAGCCTTGATGGATTTTGAGCTTAGGATTCGCTGGTATACGACCACTGATCATCCGAACCATAAAAAGTCGTCCAGACATTAGAAGTCGAAAACGGATAAAATCAACATATTTTCATCAAAGCAATCCCAGTATTCCAGCAGTATCCTATGAATTCACAAATTGTTGTCATCAAACCGTTGGCTCGTTTTCTTCACGGTTTGCCTTTTAAGCTGCAAGAAGCACGTCATGCGCAGTTTGCAGATACCAAATTGGTCCAAAGTCAAGGTTACTTTTATTTACATTACTTCTGCTCAATTATTAGGCAACAATTTTGAACAAAAGTGAACTAACCTCAAATATAATTGCAGAGGCATCTCAGTCCTACTTCCCTGCAATCCTTTGGACTTTGAAGAAGTTGTACTTTTTCGAACTTTTTAAGAGTTGTCTTACCGCGAGGTCCTTAGGCAACTTGCGCAACATTCGAAAGAGCTGTTTGAGAATGTGCTTCACTTCATTACCACGGAAAGGGCGAAACGTGTAGCCGCTATTCTTGAATATACTGGAATCGATTTAGTCTGAACTCCCAAAAATGAGTTGCAATGTTTACAGACATGTGGAGATATCCTGCTTACAGATATGTAGAGCGCAAAAAACATCAAATTACCGCAAAACCGGGAGCACCTATAGCCTTAAAATCGAAAATTATAAAGTTCGAAACGTTCTCAAGGCATCACACAAACCTCCGTTCTGGCATTTGGAAAAACTACAGCACTCACTTTTCTAAATGGGAAAGCCACAGTCATTCGAAGCACCTAGTCGGTTTTTTCATTGTGCAAAACGCAGTTGCCATTCTTTAGCCTTCTCATTAGCTTTCGATGAACCTAAAACTTGCGATACGCCGAACATAGTGATTTTCGCGTTAGATCTGCATTTTTACTGCTTTGACTAGGCGTGTTATAAGTGAAATCGCAATTGAGTTTCTAGTTAAGGAAGCTTTAGTTTTAGCCGCTTTTCGAATGTAGATGTATATCAGCTTTACAGCATTTAGTTCTCTACAGCCATTGCGGACTGAGACGGACAAAGGATGACACTAAAACTTCAAATCAAATCAACGCCCAAGTGTCTTAGCACAACATTATTTTCAAAACAAGGACAAACCGTACCTACAGTATCTAAGAAATCCTCAAATGTCAGATGGTAATCTTCAAAGCAACGGTACCGTACCGAAGGTTCTCATAACTCCTCACCTCATTCTTGCGGTTTGAATACTGTTTACAATGGCTACACTAAGCAAGGAAATATTAAGGAGGTGGCATAGCGAATGTTCTTGAAAACACAAAGCTGCGGCATTTCTTCATAGTTTAATTCAATCACCAAAAAACTTGTTTCCGCATTCCTTGTCTATTTGGTCAAAAATTCATAGATAGGAGACCTTTCCAATCCCATGAATTACCATATTCTGCGTCAATTAGTCCCCTCAGCCATGCGAAAAGCCCTGCATGCTCGTGTATTTCGTAATAATATAACTCTAAATGTACTTTCGCAATTGCCAGTATCTTCTCAAACTTTCAATGAATACTGCTCGTAACCTATATGTATGTAGACCTTTTTTGCACGCTTTTATCACAAATTCTCGGAATTGCAGAAATTTCAATTTGTGCAGAATTACGAGACAGGCATTGCCATTCAAAAGGGCAAATGTTTTGAAGAATGATTACTTCATGAGCGAATTACGAAACTTTGCTTCAGTAACGCGCATTGTGAAATCTCATTCATGTCTCATAACCTAAATGTACTTCCTTTGCTGTATGGCAGTAAACACAGCTTTTCGAAATTGCAAAAATTCCAAATTTTGCATGATTATGATCCGCTAAGCTTTGAGCCCTGTGACATTCATAGGAGCAAACTTTTAGAAACGAAATTTGAAAAGCTGTTCATATATCATGGCACTAATAACGTGCATTATTGTATTAGCACTGTAAATATCTGTAATGTTCTAGGTTTCTTCAATTTTCATCAAGGATAAAAACACTGCTTTCACCCATTATTAGCGCTTTGGGTGAAGGGATAACACTTTTCTAACCACAGAACAGTGACGGACCGAGGGGGTGGGTCGCGAAATTTTTGAAAATCACTTATATGAGTTATAAAATGCGCAAGTTACATGTTGACTTTGGAAATAACTAAAATAATTTTTTTAAATTTTTGAAAATTTAAATTAGCCTTGAAAAAAATTTCTTGCGCATCAAAGCTCCTTGTTTCGAGATTATTATTAACCCACTGACGACGATGTGGACCACCGGTGGCCCACGCACTTTTTGCTGCTAGGGACGATGTGGACCATCGTTGGCCCACACCTCCTACAAAGTCTTATTATTTGTAAGTCTAGTATTTTTTCCACATGTCAATAATTTTCCCCTTTTTTTGCATTCCTAGAGCCTCTAGACCCGTCGTTCAAGAAAATGATTATGACTGTTTACAAACAACATTGCATTTCTAAAATAACCACAATACCCTTCCTCACAAAAGTGTTCTGCAAAATCGCGTCGTCCCTCAGCGTCGCCACCTAAATTTAGGCGTTGTTGCCAATGGGTTAAACTTCATCGCTAATCAGACGCAGTTCTTGTGAAGATAAATCCCTTAGCTTCTTTGGCTGAACCAGTAAATAGTATAGTAGTGCCCCGACTACACGATCAAACATTTTATTAGATTGTGCAATGAATAAGGCATCTGGGTTTTATAAAACCTATATATACATGCAGGAATGCTCACAGACTTAGAATATCAAGTTCCCAATACAAGAGAGATTATGTTCCATTATAGCGACTTCTCATCATAAAACCATGACGTACATAATATGGTATCGCAGAACGAGCAAATGACAGCACTTCAAACGAGAGCTGCTCACAGTAGTGGTACGAATCCCTAGAAAAATCACAAATCAATTACCATCGTAAAATCTCTTTCCATATAATAATTACATAGCCAATGATATGGTTTTGATTTATGCTGCGTAACTCCAAGGAGCGCAAGTTGCGTAACTTGCCTCGACCTCGGCCTACAGAAAATCTGATAACAGAAGAGGAAGAGCATCTACATAAACAAACCTATACGAATCCTCTTTTTTTTATAGAAGACGCGAAAGAAAATATTGTGACTGAAAGCGTGCAAAAGGACACCGCATTCAAAACTGAACTGTCTAGAGAGAGTGACATAGCCATTTCTTCAAAAAAGAGCTCCCGTCCTTACCAACTCGACATCAATCTCGAGCAAGGCCATGTAAATGGAAAATCAGTTTTCGGGAAACTCAAAGATGATTTATGACGCATAAGACTATAGATGAAGATGTATATGATCCTATCAGTTGTGCGAACATTCATCCTCATTGTCAAGAAATTGCAATTTTCTCCTTTTTCAATTTTTGCTCGCATTAATTTATCAGAAAGAAAAAAAAAGTCATGCACTACGCAAGAGCTCCTCCTGTATAACCTACCAGACAGTATTGCAGGTTGGATGCAGAAGAAGAAAATCACTTTAGTTCTGACGTTTTTGTGTTCGCCCAAGAAACTGGAAATGTAACCAGAAAAATTAATTCTGAACTAGAAAATGTACTAGACACACTTCTTAAGCAGATCCATGATTTCGTAAACAACGCAGAGAAAATTTTTTCGTCATTATGTGCTACAGAGGTCTGTTTCAAAACGGAACATGAAAAATATTAGTAAGGAAAATTATCTTCTTCTTCATTTGTCCAGTCAGAATCATAAAGCTTAGAAACAGATGATTTTTCTTAATTGGAGGAGTAGGCCAGAACTTTCCTATTGCTCAAAATTCACTGAAATGTTTTTACAATTTCGCTCGCATGATTTTTCTCCCATGTCTGTGTGATATTTTGTGCAGAAAGTTTTTGAACCATTAATGAATAATTTTCTATGTCTTCCCCTAAGCCGCAAATTAGCCGCTTCAGTAATGGAGGTAATAGCTGACAATTCACCGATAAGCAGATCGGTTTGCGAAACTCGCTTGAGTCCCAGACATCTTAACCCCTCTCACCGAAGATTTTCCCATTTGCCCATCACAGACCATGACTTACGAAATACATGAACGATCAACCACTGACGGTAAGAAAAAAGTGCACACGCATATGCAGATGTGCGCGCGTTTGCGAAAACTAAAAGCAACTCGGGAAGAAAAATGACCGAAAAAACGCGCTCACGGAGAAACAGATGGCAGAATGAGTGTTCGAAACAACAAATCTTCCGTCCCTGACTGGATCCTTCCCACTCCTATTTACGCACTTCGGAAAGTCGTGTCGAAAGGCCCACCAATCTGACTACTATGACTTTTTTCTTCTTACAGTTAGAAAATCAGCGATGAAACAAGATGCTTGTGCGAAAAGCTTGTTACTAACTCGTATCCCTACTGCATTTGAAAAGTTTGGAATAGTGGAAAAGCGGAATTTAGTAAACACCGAGCCTTCTCGCAGAAATTTTCGATACCTCAGGTAACATTCGCTTTCTTGTGCCTCGGCCGTCCCCACTTCTCAGACTTTAACAGAAAAGCCCATCCACATAAATCACTGTCCGCTTCTTCCCCCGTCTCAGACGACGGGCCCAAAGTCACACCGCTAACAACCACTTTATGTCCTCGAGCGGGGCCGCTACCGTGGAGCAAAGGTCATAGCAAAAAAGACTGTAGCAAGGGCACAGAACCGCACTCAAAACTTTTGCTATTACCATGTTTGCAAGACCATATACACTGAACTGGGAAGCAATGTACGCCCATTTTCCTCCCCAGAAATGCTTCATTAGTAACTGTTCCCCAATCAATCACACATTTGCGCAACAGAATAAATCAAGAACGCCTAATCAGAATTCATTGCTCTGAGCGCAGTAGCCATCAACAACGGCTGGTTCAAACGGACATGGACATGTGCGATACAATAGGAAAAACCGTTTGCACCACAGCTGGACGCCGCCATTGACAGTAGACAGCTGATAACTATGCTACAGAAATTTCGAATCAACATAAAATCGGACTCTATAGGGTTTCTCGTTATTGTTGAAAAATTCAAACCCGTGATATGGAGACATCACGAGTTGCGCTACCACAAAAAACTTCAGAATGAAAGCGATTCAAAAACATAAGACAAACGTCAGATAAAAGAGTTGCTAGAAACCTCCTTCAAATTTAAAGTCAAAGATATACTCACAATAAATTTGCTCGAAAAGAAGGCACTAGTTGCGGATGACCGTGTGCGAGCGCAGTTTTGAAAGTTGACTATGGAGTGGATGCACGGCTCTAGGAGCAGCTCGTTTTCTCGGGCTTTTAGGTGGGCTGGCTGAAGAACTCCTCGGAGAATCATCATCCATGACCCCTTCAGATTCAGCGTTTGGCTCCACAAATCTAAAAGGACATGGCTACCGCAACCTTGAGTTTTTTTTTCACAGAAAAACTCACCGGAACGGGCTGCTGGGTGCCGCCGACTTCATATTCTTGATAGGCGTAACAGCATCTTTACTACCCCGAGAGTCCGCCGAACGCCGCTTACGAACTTTAAGATAATCTGAAAGAACGAACTCTGCGATAGGGTCGATTATTAACGAACACTGACTTATTCAAATATTGCAGTAGATACAGATAGACTGTAGCAAATAGTTTCTATAGACCATTTTTTGTGCGGTACATCAAGATGCAAAACACTAAGCTTATCAAGCGAACAAATCTTTATCGTGAAGTGAAGACTAATGAGAAAAAAGGAGGCCGCACTTCGCATGAGTGAGCTGTTGTTGCGCAAAATCGAGTACAGTAGCTGTTGCGCATTCTCAGTATGAACTACTCGAAGACTAGGAGACAGTAATGTGGATAATCTACTAAAACAAATAATACTGAGAGACCTGGCAGCCATATACAAAAAATTATAGAAAGAAGCAACAACAGAAAACTGAAAAAAAATGTGTTCTCCTCGAAAGTTGCCAGAAAAGAAAACGATTCACATTACTGAATCTAGGTTCTCATTGAGGCAAAAGTGCTTACATCAAATCAAGGAAGCTTGCAGACTTTTATCAGACAGCGACGATAATAACGCTAATGAGATGCAGGACAAAATCGCCAGCTGTACTTCCGAGTAATCTACCAATCTAGCCGATTAAATGGTGAAAATGAGGTAACGTTCCAGATTTAGTGACGTATCATCAACCTCATGTAGAATTGACCGGACACGGTCAGAACTCAAGGATTTTCCATCTTTCACTGTGAAAAGCAGAGGAAGCCCTTCATAAAGTGTAAAAACTTTGGATCGAGAAACAAAATGTATCCGTGCCAAATTTCATGAACTAAACCGTTAACTGATCAAAAATCAACAAGATGACTGCAGGAATTATTTTTGAGCTCTTTTCATTTATCTTCACTCAAACCTCTTTGGTTCTCTTTAACTCTGGAAAAAACCCATAATCTTATAGTGGTGTGATGAGAGCCAAGAGCAAAACCTACTACAGATACAGTTCGTCATGTCTTCGAACGGAAGCTCTACCCGTTAAGCTCTTATAATTAGATTAAAACTAGACCTGAACCGCAAAGAGCTCTTTGCAGCTACCTTGATTTGCCAGAGCAGCCACTGAAAGTCAAACTTTATCTAATGCGTTTTCCCGCTCCACCCGATAGATAACCGAACCGAATTACGGTGGCTTAGGATTGTCCTTGAGTATAGGCATCGTGCCCCGTTATTATAACCACTGACCTCGACTCAAGGAGAGGCCAACGAGGCGAGACATTAATAGCATGTGCTGCACAACTAGGCGTTATACATATGCGGAATGAACGACGACGCGTTACGACGCACTTCAATTCAAAACACCTGTGGTTTCAGAACGGGTTTCGAGCAAGTGACAAGGAAAATGAACAAGCTATGATGTGTAGATACGGGCGATATTGGTATCTCAGAGCTGATCAAACAAGACTTTGAACGAAATTGGTAATGGTTATTTGGCTCGCAAAAGGCAGTGCTATGGACCAGAAAACTTGACTCTTTTACATATTTCTCGGATGCGTATCTTAAGAAAAAGTCCAATATTCGTGCGAGTGAAAATGGAATAAACGTGTGAATGATGGAAGAACCAGACAGTGCAGCAAAATCGTTTTGAGCCAAAAGAAAGTTTTAGAGGGAGTTGAAGTAGTATGAAACAAGAGATTAGGTGGACAGGACATCTAAAAAGTATCTTTTGGAGAAACTTTCATCTGGACTCATTAAAACAGTGAGTAGTGAGAGGAAGTATGATAAAAGATGCATATGCTAATTTAAAAAAGGAATAGCAACCCCATTTACTCAAACACGAGATCTTTGAAACTCCCTCGATGTACGACATGAAAAGCCTTCAAAAAAAATGTTGACTACAGCGGGCAATAGATCTCCATAGAACGTAGATGCATTTTGTAACAGACAACAAAGAAAGATTGTGAAAGATGCGCGAATGCCATGACGTCAGAAAAACATTCGTACAAACGGAGATGGAAGGAAAGCTGACTGAGTGAAAAGGCAAATCTTAAAATAAGGAATGTTTGAATAAGAAACTTACTGGTCAATTTAGCCTGCTTCAAACTCTTCCGATTTTGCAAACTATTGTTGTCACTTTGCTTTGTGCAGGACCTGGAACGGATTGCTGATAGAATCAAACTGAGAGTTTCAAGACTGTTAGACCTGGTGAATGGACGATGAGATTTATCTGATCCTTCCTCGGATGTGCCCTCTTCTGATGAAGCCGATGGAATGTTCGGATTGAACTCACTAACTTCTCGTCGCCTCCTCTTACCAATCTTATGAGGTTTGTAAATAGACGGCACCTAGAATTGAAGTAATAGTGCAAAACTGATTCGAAATAAAGTTATGCTTACCTGATCTATAGAAACTGGTTCATATTCGATATCTCCCTTGACAGGAACATCTAATTCGAAGTCGTAACTCCATTTATCTTTGCTCCGTTTTAACTGTTTTTTAGAGGTTTCATCAAGCCATTTTTCGACCTAGAAAATTTCGGATGGATACAATAAGTAGTAAACAGATAGCGAAAGATGGCGAACCTCCTGCTGGTCGGGTTTACCAAAAAGGCATCTTTTAACGCGGCGATTCCTGCCTGGACTATTATTTTCCATGAAAAATTTGGGTAAACCTGAAAGTTCTAATTACGTTCAATGTACTTCCATTTATAGATGAGAAACGAATATAGCCGCGACAACCCGAAATGGTACAAGCGCAAAACGGGATGAAAAAAGAAGTTGCCGTCAATGGATTTGAACAGCGGCGTGAACCGTGAGGCGAGCGTAGCGCAATCGATTGGCAATGGAGCGCGGCCGATCGACATTGCGTCACGTCTGGATCGTGCGCTGTGAACCTCAAAAGCAGCGTTTTTTGCTTGATCCTTGCAAAATTTCAGAGAGTGATGACATGGCTGAGGATCACACAAATGAGGACAGTATGTCGGCTGTGCTTTTCGCCGATCCGCGTAAAAAACGCGCTATCTCCGCGCTCGATCGCACTCGGCGATCGATGACGTCGCCCTTCTGTTCATCCCCCTCAAACCCGGCTGACCAGTTTCGTGAATTAGGCACATTTAGCCTCTGATGGGATGCTTAGTAGCCTGAGATCGTCGGCCGAGCCCAGGCGAGGCGCTTTTCACGATGCTAGCGGACTCATTTGCATACAATCGTGTCGCTGATTTGATTAATCGCAGCGTTCCGAATTTATTCGAGCAAGCTATTGTGTATTCACGGAATAGGGTACTCGATAACGCTGCGCGCAAGTAGACTTGACATGATAAAACCATGCTTTATCCTGTTTTGGATCTTTTCCTGCTCAAAACGGATAAAGGACAAGTTAGAGCATGTTAAGAATCGTCTATAGCCTTTTCTTGAGTCGGAGTCCCTGAGCGAATATTGGGCTACTAATACGGTAAACTACCGTACCCGCTTTTCAGCATAAGAAATCTCTGCCGTCTGAGGCCTAGCAAACCTTTTTCCATCATAACCTTTTTGGAGCACTATTGCGTACTGAATAAATAATAGAACGAAACCGTGAATGTATTTATCTTGAAAGAAAAAGGAAGCTAAAAAAAGGGTGTCCAGGTTTTAGATGGGTGTGCGTTCTGGCTTCAACTTCCGCAGTCAGTTTTGCTAGTTTTTGAACGAAAAAAAAAATGTTCGAGTCCTATGTCCATTTCATTTTGAAACTTCACTCGTTTCTCGGTGACCCTAGTTTTCGATTTTTTATCGCAATCTAATGGCTTCCATACTTGCCAAGAAATTTGACGACCTCAAAAAATTACAGATTTTGTCCACAAAAGGCCATCTTTTTCAAAATGGGTTTCATTTCATACAAAAGTTTTTCAAATTCTCTCTATTATATCCGCTTAGCTCTTCCTCCCCCCCCCCCCCAATCCCTACCCCGATCGTCAACCAAGAATTAGGTAACCTCTCGAGCGTCTGGCGCCATGTGCTCAACACTATTCGCGTGTACAAATTGCACGGAAGCTTTGCCATCTGTCTCGTTCGAGGGGAGAAATGGGTTACGATGCCCAAGAGAATCGCTACAACCATCTTGACCGCGAATTACTTGTCGTAAAATTCGGTTGAGATCGAATCAACACTTCGGGAAGAGCGATGAGGATACTCTTAGGAAGTTTTGTGCTGTTTTTGGGAGCGATCTTAGGAGTAATTAGTCATCATCAAGGAAAACTTTTCTGGAACTAGAAAACAATTATGACACTTTTGCGCGAAGAAAAGCCTATCAGTTATGAAGATAGTAATCAAAAATTGTTGTTAGGGCTGCAGCTGCAGACAACAGGAATCTAAAGTAACTTTTTTGTCTCCAAAAACATAGTGTATGTCCCAAAGCATCTGAAAGATGAAACTCAGTAAATTTGAGAGATTGGCGCTTGGGATAAATTTTTTGACTGGTAAATCTCAAAAAATTCTTATCTCATATTTTTTATAGCTTATTTTGAGTGGAAACCTCATTAAATAGACATACACTTGATGTACGGACAATTCGATAGGAACTTTTTCTAACTGCATGCATATAGTCCAATTTATCACCTGACTAGTTTGTGCAATTGCACACACTGCGCACACTGCGCGTCTGGTTCTAAAATTCGGCTTCTCCATAAATATTCGGGGGATCTTAGTTATTGTTCTAGGACCTGGGGAAGACGAAACTCACTTAAAAGAACTGCGTCCCATGATCAACAACCCAGGATAGGATACGTAATTATGTTTTGTGTGCATTTGCACATATCAGGACATATGAAAAGATTGGACTGAATATATTGCTGCTCTCATCTTTTTTACGAAATAGATAAATAAATGAACTTTCATCAGGTAATGAGAACAATTAGGCAACTGAATTTTTATCCAAGTACTTTTATTTTGGACACGCAATCATTAGAGGAATATTTTCCAACATCTTATGTTTTGGTGCATCTTGCGCAAAACATCCCCGTTCGTATACAACAAGGAATGCTACGCAGAACACATATGGTGCGACAAATGCTAACTATAGCATAGCCTACACCACATTTTATGGACCCCATATGTGTCTTCAGGTTCGATTGCTGATAATGAACGCGCCTGGGCCTAGACCATACAAAACAGAAAATCTTGGCTCCTAAGTCTTAGCATTCGCTTGAAAAACAAAAGCATAAAGCAGTATAGCACAGAACTTAGCAGACTTCTTTCAACCAGCCACTCCCATTTACTCCCACTTGAGCTTGCCACCTTCCCCAAAATGCCAGCACTCATATGCTAATGCAGACACTTATCCAAAGCATCTGTGAAACAATGGTGACCTTTTAAGTGCGTAACAATCAGGGGCCCAGCTGTTCTTCTCGTCTTGCTCTTATATATCGTTGATGAATGGATGGTACAACTGCTACTCATCCCCACTCCCTAAACCACTGACTCGCAGAATCGCGTAACAGCTGTGACGGATGATGAGACGTCTGTCGCAATGTGTTCGCACCTCATATGGACTGCTGCCACTGACTTCCGAATGCATTTGATAAATCTGAGTGTGTAATGTAGTGCGATTACACTGCTAGTTGTGAGTTGAAAATGGCCATACAGCGCGCATATTCAGTTATTCATGTAATATGAGCGCTTAACATGTTAGAACCCGTTCTTCATTTCTTTGTGGATGTTCTGCCAATTGAACTTTCAGGTAAAACCCGTCCAGGCTTCTTGAAAAAGTACGCACAGCCCTTATGCATTTGATAACATCTGATAATATAGTGCATTTACGGTGACAACAACGCATGCGCGTAGTAAAGGTCATGGAGCGCAAATAAGCATGTAAGATGAGCGTTTAACATGTTAGAACGTGTGTTTGACAGGATTTAAATGTTTTACCTCCCAAATGGGAATGAGAAATCGCTTATAAAAAGGCTTATGAGAAACCGCCTGTTTGGATATAGGCGTTTACACTACAGTAGCTTCACTTGTCAATGTGTGCAACTGCCAATTTTTGAAAAGTTGACCATGAGTCCCAAAAACAGTTTTTCTCGTCATGTTATTATCTTAGTGGCTTCGGCGCAATATATCTCAGGAAGTGAATGGCTACATTTTTTATGCACTTAGTACCTGAGGGCTAGTGTTCCATCGTCAACATCGCGAAAACGGTGCAATTGCACATATTGGCAAAAAACGCAGTCAACTATCTCTAGTGTTGGGATCTATAAATAGATGGCACTTCTTGCGCATGCACTGTTAATCCCGAAATGTGCGCTCCATGGCTATTTCCTACGCGCAAGTGTGGTATCAACTGCAATTGCACTAAATTCCCTCAGAATCAGCTTGACTATACAATCGAAGTAGTAGTGACTACAAAAGAAGCGTGCGAACTCGCTCCAGGTTCTTTCGCTTATTTCCCATGGGTGTTGCATCTGGTTAGCGGACTTCAATAGGGGGCCACAGAGTTTTCCCATATTACCCCCTCTCGCGTCCGAGTTATTAGTGACAGTGTCAGTCACTGAGAATAGAGCGCTGTCCACGACACAATGAATATTCCGACACTCATCGGTAGTTCGAAAAGCGTCTCAGTGACCCTGTCACATTACGTCTGCCCCATGATTGCTCGCGTTTCTGTTTTTGCGCCGACCCACTCGGCTCGCGCTGATTCGGCAGCGGCGTCAGCTCTGACGCCGACGCTGTTCCGCGTTATCAGCTGGATCGCGGCCAGCGACGTTCCATCGCAGCTAAATCTTGCTTAGACCTTATCAGGGCGATTGTTCTGCCGTACGGCCGTTCGATAACGACGAGGCAGACAAAGAGAGAAGTGTGTGTAACACTGGAGGCTTAGTGTGGAAGAGGCTTTGTGCGTAATCACAGTTCTGAACGCAATCTTCAGCCCTGGCGTGCTCACAACCAAAAGTGCACGAGACAACGAATCATGTTTTGTAGTCAGACACAGGACTTTTATAATAGGTGATTTTTTACAGAATGCAGTGCTACCAAAAAATATCTCATAAGACATTCTCTTGAACCGGTTCAACCAGATACAAGTTATGAGCTTTAGTCTTTGAAAAACTGTCAAGGACTAGGAATTTTACCAGATATTAGCCTATGTTTTGAAAATTTCACATAGAATTCATATCGATCATTCTCAGAATCTGCTTGAAATTTTTGAGAGCGAAATTCTTGAGAGCTTTAAAAGAGCGATTATCGCATCAAAATGTTTCAAAAAGTAGCACAAAATTCCAAAGTAAATGGATAGCAACCGCAAAAAGAAATTAATTTTGCACATATTCGAAATGATAGAGTTTTTTGCGCTGAATTTTAGCTCATTTTCTAATTTCTCTAAAATGACAACTGCGGCCAGAAAATCCATGAATTATCGCACCGAAATTCTCCAAATCTGCTCAAAAACTTGCATGATCGCGGTCACAAAAAATTTAATTTCGTACGTTTATAGAAACGACAGGGCTTTGCTGGCACTAAATTTTCGCTAATTTTTGGGAAAGAATTAATTGGAGTGATATTAATGCACTCTATAAAAAAAGCGATCACTGAAATGGTAGCATGACAAGATTACTATGAAGGTAGCATTTTTTGCCATACTTTGATTCCATCTAAATTTGTAATCCAGCGAGAGGAAGGCGAGTTCGAATAAGCACATGCTGCAAAATTGAAAGGAATTGATATCAATAAACTTGAAGATGATTTCCTCTCCCTTCTTCGTAAAGCGCAATTGACCCAAATTCAGTTGAAGAGCTTGGAGCGTCTTCTTTCATACAACAGGCAAAAAAAATTATTACGAAATAATTGTGAGACCTACAAACGTCCTGTCTTGTTTCTCTGTTGGGAACTGAGGAAGCAATTTGGCAGGTCTGAGGTAAAAACGAAGACAATTTTGAATTTAAGAGGAGATCGAGACTGGTACAAAGTGAGCAGACACTGCTGTCTGTTGTGCTCGGGTAGGATCGGTCATATGTACTTCTTGAAAGAAGACGAGGTTCGTTGTATGGTGTGAATGCCATTAGTCATCCTTTCACTTTCGCGCCATACCCATTCTTCTACCACATGTTGTGCGCGAAGTGATGGGGGGGGGGGGGGGTTCTTACCATATGTTACGATGAGGTGTCTGAACTATTGTCTGGCTTGAAAATCGTGAAAGCCCGTCGAATTTCGCACTGGTACTCATTTCACCCACTTTCCATTGCAGCCCATCGTCATGGATCATTGAAAATCGGCACATTTAACGAGAGAATCACACGTGAATGGGTGAAATGATGGTGGGAATTGGAGCACAATGGGGGTATTTCGAGACTCATTTCGCACTCTACGCGATCGCCATCACGACAGCCCTTTTCGGCTGGAAAATTGAAAATGTGACAGATTTAGGTCTACCCAGTGCCTCGGCTCTACCCCACTGCCAGCGAAGTTCTTCTTTTGACTCAGGTCTAGCCGAAGTCATAGCAGAAGGAGTGTTCGCTCGTTTTATGAGCCGATTCGACTTGCAGCAATTGCGGTGCGAACCTTTACTACAAAAGAGAACCGACTGGTCGTTAACTACTTGCAGAACGAGCGCTTCCCGCAGTTTCCACACTCCCAAGGGCAGAACGAACACGCCCAGGACATGGAATGTCTTCAGAAGTTCCGAAATATTATCTTCGTGCAGAAAATCAGCATAAGATGCAGTGCTATTTATTGTGTTTAATGTATATGTATGATCCAAGTAAGTAGTGAAAGGTAAATGAAAATGAAAGGAATTGTGAAATCCGGACCAAAGGAGAGATGAACCGGTCCAGTATTTCCATGGTTCCTTGCGTGACATTTACAGACACTAAGAATCAAAATTATCACGTTTATCTTTTCATTCACTCCAAATCAACATCATCGGACATTTTTTTACAAAATTTGAAGATTTTTTTCGACCTCCACGATTTTTAGATTTTAAGGTTTCCTTGACCTTCCTCCACCCATTCTACTGATAGAAGAAGATAATGCTTATTCGAATGTTACTCCGACGTCCTAATTTTCATCTTATTTGTACGCCGGCTAATAATTTTGCAAAAAAGTCTAATAAATACACGTGTGGCATTGATTATCGTTGATTCATTTATTTATCTACATTTTACTTATAAAAGCGAGCCAAAAACTTGAAGCGACAGCGTCAGGCTACGACACTGCCAATCATCGTAAATTTTTTAGTTTGTGGAGTATGAGGAGAAATTGGATGCAAAAGCGTGGGACACAGAATATTGGCCTTCCCTTTTGGAGTACAAAGCATCCCCAATACGGTTTGTCTTGACCTCGTCCACTCATCCATGCAGCCTTAGTGATTTATTGACAGAGAATTAGCCAGGGCACGTTTGAACTCAGCCGGCATTCCATCAGTCATAATTTCCGCCTTATCTGTCTGTCTGTGTCGGCTGCGCACAAAACATGTCTGATTAACGGAGCATGTAGCCAGTGTCGCATCCTCAAAAGAGCAGGTGCGCGTCCGGAGTGCGAGGGTGTTCTGCCGCGGCAGAGGCAGCAGACACCGCGCTCTTCCGTCTGAGGGGTCGACGAAGCGCATCGCGCGGCGGCGGCGGTCCCTGCTCTAGCGTTGACCGCTCCATTGTTTGTTTACAATGGCGGCTTTACTCATTAGAATTCAGTGACTGAGCGGCGTTCGACCCGTGCACAAAGCAATATGGCCGACGGTGACCCCTCATAGTCCCCGGATCTGCACATCCCTACAAGGATTAGTGATGGAATACATTAGCGGTAAGTATGGCGGGTCACGTGAAGTGCTAGAATAGCATAGTGCGGAAGTCACACATGCATCGGATCAGTGTTTATATGTTCATAAAACGATGTGCAGCCTTAAAATGCAAAATTAGCAGCAGCTATGCAATCATGTCCCCAAAACTGTCGTTGATCTGACCAAAACATTTAATTTCCATGAAAAAACTCTCAAACTGCCATTGTCCGATTAATGTGATTTTTGAACACAACAATGTTCCCAAAATATTCTGTCACTGATTATAGTCAATAATGAAAAGACCCTAAAGTGTGCAATTGCACAGCAGCACAAACTGGACGGTAAGTCCAATAAGATGATGCACCATTTCTTTGTTTTTTGCTCACTTAATCTTTGTGCTGTTCTGAGGTTTTTTTGTTTTTTGTTCGCTTTACTTTTAAATGTAAATATGGTTGATAAAAATGTAGAAACTCGAAAAAAACAACACAACATTCACCTATAAGCTGCTTCAATTCTTAAATTTCTTGAACTCCGGCAAATGTACATTCCGCAATTTCGCATGGTGACACCAATTTACTCCTACACTTCAGCCAAAATTACTCACAGTGACCCTCGAATAAAAAAATGCATGCGTAATATTTTTATTCAAAATGGACGATGACGTCGTACGTTTGTACGTTACACAATCGCCGTCGATCTCGGAAAAAACAACAACTTGCTATGTTGCTGTGTCGAATTCGTATAGAAGCATATGACTGTCAGAAAAAGCTATAAAAATTCTGCGCCATATCAAAAGCTGTAAAAAATTTTATCAGCTTCATGGGTGTTCGAAATTTTTTATCTGCTTGCTGGGATGTTCAAACCACACCGTAAAGTTTAGACTAGGGGAAAATAGTTGCTGAGCAAATAAAGCAGATATTTCGGGTGGAAGAAAGACTTCGTGTTTGGAAGCACTACAAAAACAGCAACCCATTTTTTTAACAAAAGTGCCAAAAATATCAAAAGAGTCCGATAACTACTATAGCATCACTTTTTGAAGATTTTCTCAATCTCAATTATTTTATAAGCTGCGCAAATTGAAATTATGAAAAGAGTTTGGATGAAAAATAATTTTTTCATAAAACTTTCAATTTTCACGACCGCACAATCGCTAGAATTTTCTTACGATGCACTTTGACCTTAATTATAAGCTGCTTAAATTTGGATCATGACCGGTTGGAGTTTTGTCAAGCCCAAATTCCCACTCGCGCTTTGAAATTAGCTTGAAAACCAATGAAATCACCAGAATTTTTTTTCTAATATGCTTTTTTCTCTGACATATTCTGCCCTTTCCGTATGTAAACGCTAAGATTATACACAGTGGAGCAAAAAGTCGTAAAACCGTCATCAGTGCCGTCTACTTGGCTCTCAGCACACCGTAACACTCTGACCACTGACTGACTGGGGCCAGAACAGGTGACAATGAAAATCGTACCACGGGGGAAGCCGTTGTAAAGTAGCGGTCACATCGGGTCAGCTCGGTGAACGCGATTGTGGTCGCGTGGAATCCAGTTCGTGCATTAAAAAGGGCACACACGGGGGGGGGGGGGCTGGCGCTATCGACGAATTTTCTCATTTCCATATGCAAACGTGTGGGGAAAGTGAAAAGTGTGGGGAAAACCTTGCGGTTACGCGATGGGGCGTAACATAACGAGGCGAGGTTGGGTAAGTTAATGGCGAAAATCTGAACTAATGAGCTGTAAGCGCGCGGACGAGTTATCGTGGATCTGATAACTATGTGTTAGGTAATGGTGACGTGTCTAATGACCGAGAGCACTCATCGCATTATGCAACGCGCCATGATCGGGTCGAGGGCGATCGATGCAGCCTCGGAGCTCGCTTTTGTTGGATAATCCCCCCGAAAGGTCAGGCAGCAATACGCAACCCGGGTGCCAAGCACGCAGCCGAACATATCGGGTCGATAGCCCCCGTCGACCAGCCGGCTGAGCTCACAAAATCTCCAGCAGATGTGGGGAAAATAGAGGAAACATGTTCCAGATCCTGTTTTGGAAGCTCGCTCTGCAGTTTCTGCAACTGCGCGCGCGCGACGCGTCACTTTTGTGAAGCGGCGACCTCTCGTGCTAGGTTCGGACACGAGAAAAAACTCAAGTATGGTCTGCGCTTGTTTTTTGTACCGCGGCGCTCGTAAAATTCCTGCGTCCAACACACAGAAATCGAAAACACAGAACACAGAGTGAGAGTGATGCTGTGTCAGTGTGATTATAATGGCAGCTGGCCAATGTCTAGCCAAGAACTGACAAATTTAGGCTGTTATTCTCACGTATTGATTGCTATCACTCTCGCATATAGAGATAGCGAGTGTTTACCGAGTGATAGCCGAGCGTCACAGACTGCTCCTTCCTCTAACAATCTCCTATCGTATATGTCGTGACATACACCTCGCGACACTTTTGAACAGCCAAAAAAATTTGTACGTAAAATCTGTTTATCAGGTTTCTCGACAACAATAAACAACTATGCACATTCGACGACCGAAACAGTTCAAGAACTGCTAGTGAAAAGCCGGGAGCACACAGCTATAGATACAAATTTGGCAACGACATAGGCCGTAGGACACAGCAGCGTGAATATTTAGAAGAAAAGTGAGTTAGCGAGTGAGATAGATATAAATACGAGAAAAAATTAGAAAACCCGGAGGAGCTTTGGATAGAGCTCTTTGGTATATCACAGGGTGAGAAAATAAAAACGAGGGACCAAGGGCCCTTCGGGACTAGGGCTGGTAAAGCGAGCTCTTTCAAACCCGAGCCGCTAGGCGACCACTTTCTGGCAAGACAATGTCGAGTCGTTTTGGTGAGTGTTGGAGACGCTTCTTACGAACCACCATGTAATCTGGAATGGGGAAGATAAGCTCATTGGAAAAAGAAAAATAAAAAGCAAGAAATTCTCATTTAAGGGAGGAATGAGCTACTAACCGGTGAGTTTTCCATGGCGTTTCTTTGGTGTAGCATGTTCGCGCTTAGCCGGTGTGATAGGACTCATTGAGACATCCATCATCGAGGAATCAGACTCGTCAGATGTTGACAACTCGGCTTGGTTTTCTTTAGTGGGTGAGCTGACAGCTGACGAGATCAGCTTGGTTCTGAAAATGGCGGGCATCAAAAGATGGTACGGTAAGGAGTACGGTAGGTAGATCAAAAAGTGCAGCGAAATCTTAAAAACATGTAGAAAAGCTACATACCTATAGAATTCCGGTACAGAATCCTCGGCAATCGGAGTGAATTCATATTCAGATGTTCCAGGTAGGGGAACTTCACAAGAGAAGTTAAAACCCCATTTTGCTTCCTCTTTTCGTCGAATTTCCTCGAGTTTTTCGTTCAGCCATTGCTGTGTCAGGGCTGGATCAGCTCGCCCAAAAAGGCATCGTCGGGCGGATCTTTTACTTTTGGCTGACGAGCTCGAAGATGACATTTCTGAAAGCGGAAACAACATTTATACTTGCCTATGACTCACAATAACGACCGCGCACGATGAAGGAACGAAACGGAATATTCAAATGAGGTGTTCAATGGGTGAAATGCAAATCGGACGATGTGAGATGTTATACGAATTTTAGAAAGTTCTCGGGTTTGGAAAAGGATTTTGAACGAGATCTCAGCGGGGTGGATGACTGGCTACACATTGTGGCAGTCGGGTAGTATACGGTCGGTCGGGGTGGTGGATATTCGAACGTCCGTCTCGTAATTGTCGCAGAGGGGGAGGGGTCAATGCAAAGGGTACCAGAGGTCAGAGGGTCCGAGTGCACGAGTCAACAAATACGGATCGGATTACCAAAGGCTGGGCACGCCATTTGAGTTTGGGTAAGAGGCGGTACGGTATAGGCAGAAGTTTGGGCGAGAAGAAGAGCTCTGGCTACAAAAACACCTTGCTGATGGCTAAGACGAAATCTCTCCAGATAAAAGCGCAGAATATTGATCGGCTGATTATTGATTGATAAAAGAAAGGTAGAAATAGAGCAGAATGAGCTATTTTAGGAATTTGGATGATTCCCAGCACCACCCGCGACGGCTCGTGCACCACGCGTTGTTTGGGCGACCGCTGGCTGTTCAATAATGACGCTTGCTCGGCTGCCGCTGTCGCTCGACTCCGCCCTCGGCGCTGGATGTTGGCAGCGGGCCAGATTCTCACGACACACGCCCCGCCCCCGGGTTGGGGCCGACACTCATCATCGAGACCTGGGGCAATGTACTACACTTGAGCATTTCTGGTATTTTTGGTATTGCACCTGAGGGGGGGGGGAGGGTAAAGGTGGAGAGACATGCAGGCGACGGACGGACCTACATGAGTCATCCAAGCGTGTATGTTTACGAAGCGGAGGTGTCGCTGATGACATTTGCAGCCCCCACACGTGTCAAGACAGTAATTATTAGTCGCTCTATCACAGCATTTGAACAAAAAACGGGGCCATGACATTTCATTCAAAAATCTCTGCCCCTCAAGATTGTTTTTGTGCAATTTGATCATATCTACACCCAGATCCGGCCGAACACGTGCTGCTCGTCACGACTTCTAGCTCTTTGATGCCTAAAAACAATGACAACCGGTTGCAAACCATACGGAGAAACTCACCCGCACCCTCCACTCCTCCCCTCCTCTATCCGGTTCTGGTGTACTTGTAAACACCAAGGATGATATCACAAAGGCTCGTCTTCGATGCAAAACTCGTTTTTTGGCGCGAAGCATTGAAGCCCCTCTCCTTTGCCTCGTACCCGCGCGAAAATCAAATTTTTAGAAATTCTAGACGAACACTTTGCAAAAGTGCACACTCTGGGAATGGTTAATGGATGGAATCGAAAGTTGTGCGGACAGAAAAATTTAGTGGGGACGGGCGCGGAGATTTTTTCGCAGAAAAAGCTTAATCTAGCGAAATCGATGAACTTTTCCTGTGTTATGAGAGTATGCATGAATGCTATAAGGCCACCCATGCACACAAAGCGCTATTCCCATGATAGAAAAAGCTGGAATCAAGTCTGAGAAAAAAGATGCGGGCGACACGCACGTGGGAAAAAGTGCATTCCCGTTGTCATTCCCGTGACTTAGGCGCAGAAGCATCGCGGGACGGAGACGTCCAAAAAAGCAAAAAAGAAACAAAAGCTGGGCCTTCTTGACAGAGTACGGTCACAAGGGCCAGCTGTTTTCTCGTAGCGGGAGTGCCTACGAAGGTGTTTTGACCATAAACGGTTCTACGTGGGGGTGGAGCGCAGAATAATACCGGTTTAGGAAAGGGGTGGAGAGGGATAGGGGCGCTAGAATTTTTTTTGAGACCGACTGAGATGTGGCACAACTGGAAAGGTATTTGAAGGAGTGTGACTCTGAAATTTAAAACTCAAAGACCGCATACAGAAACAGTTTCCAGCCTTTTTTTCACGATGAGTGAATAGGGATGATGTCATTTCGATCTCAATATTTCACAAAAATCGCTTTTGATAGTCAACTAATAAACACCTGCACGCCATATCAAATCTATAATGGAACTGGAAATGTGAATCAAATTTTTGAGCACCTCCTAAGATTTTTGCGCTCCTGGGACTGGGAAAAGGATGGAGAATGCTCGCATTTAACTATAGGATTATTTTATGCATTATTTGTAACTACACGTAAATATGAACATGCTCTTACAAGCATATATGAAACTATCTAACTGCCTATGACGTCCACAGGATGTTACACTGTAAATTATCAGCACATTATATTGCTATCGCAATAAACTATACGCATTGACAGGAAAACGGAAAGTGCAAAAGTGTGTAGTTTATCGCGATACTAACATAGTAGTGAATGACGCAAACTTTCGATGTTTCCTCGAAAGCATAAAATTTTAAGTGGAGTGGACTTTTATTGGTTGACAAAGTAGTGGAGCCCATTTGTCTATGACTTCATGATTATATGAAATTCGTTTATAGAAGCATTGACGATTTAATCGTCATTAAGTAGATATGACTTTTTTATCCCTTTGCTTTTGCTAAATCTCATTAACTGATAGAAACATTCGACAAACTGTCTGCTCTTTATCTTCTTGGAAATTTCTGCTGAATCAGCTTGCCTTAGCGTTATGGAATTAATTCATTGATGCAGTTACCGAAATCAAACAAACCTTTTTAGAGCGGAATTGTGAAGGTACTTCAGTAAAAAGGATTGGTTTAAACAGCGAAATCCATAATAGCATTAAATCACTTCCCTGCTTGTGTCTTTTTTATATGAGAGCGAAAAATAGCTCCTGGGCAATTTATACGAACTCTTTGCAATTCGCATCCGAGGCTCAGCTCAGCCGATTCATAGTAGGAGAAAATAGCTAAGGAGACGCTGGCGTGAGAGCTATAAGACCCGGGCTTACTTCATGCGCTTTCAGTAGCGATACGATTTGGCAATTCGCCAGAAGTCTTTAATCCAACATTAGCAAACTGCACATGCAGTGTGTGTATAACTTGCGTGGGTTGATAAAATGTCCTATCTTCTGTACATTTGAAATGTGCTTACAGTGAGTTAAGGACAATTGGAATATTGCCAAATCGCGTGGTATGCTCGGGCCCTACAGACAATCAAATTTTCTTTCATGCAGCTTTCAAGCACGTCCTTATTATTTCATAGATGTGATGTCTGGCACATAAAAGGCAAAATATTGTAAAGCTCACGTTAGACTCTAGTATACCCTGAATCGCTAAGCACATGGATTGCAGAAAACTAGTAGAACAACAGCGGTGATGGTAGATTTGGTGAGAATTTCGAAACTTTTCATGCAACCAAAGATAATCCCGAAGATAAAGAAACAGTTGAAAATACAGTTTGATTGATTCCGATATTATACTTAGAGATGTGGCCGTTTTCCGCTATCTAATCTCCCAAAAAATGTCGAATCGCGATTTCAGAGTTTAGGCTATGCTGCATTCCTCCGAATTTGACCAAAACCACATAGAATTACTGTGCATTCTTGACCACAAAAAAGATCCAAGTGCTGTGCCCATCCACCTGATGCAATTCCCACTATGTGAGTTTCTTTAGGTTTCTTGCATCTTTTTGTTATCCCTCTTCATCGGTATGGTATAAGAAAATAGATGACAGTTTCAGACCTATCTCACACCGCCTCATAAGAAAAATCTCGGAGATTTAATCAAAGGGCACTGTAAGTTTTACCTAAAAATGGCGCAAAATCTTTTGAAGATAACAACAGAGTACGGTAAGCTGAATTAGCGAGAAGTCGCTTCATGGCGATGCCATACAGTAGCTACGGTAACCAGGAACTTCCACAGAAACACAGAAGACTATTTGAAACGAACGTGGACTTCTATGTTATGTTTGGATTGTTTTACCACCTGGCTGAAAATTCATGTGTTTCAGATGTGAAAGCATTATTTGTGCACATTCAAAATCTGTTGATTGTGATTTTGAAGCCATTGTTAGCTTTCATTTTTTCCTGTCAAAGCATAATTGAGTTTGAATGCGATCACTGGGAAATAGTGACCTGAATTAGCTCAAAAATGATTCAAGAGCTCGTTTGAAACTCATAGCTGTAGTCAGGGCCCGGCAGGAGGTGGCATTTCAGAATTTTGAAAACGATATCCCCTTTGAAGCCAAAATTTCTTACGACTTCCCCTTCGACCCTATTTTTGACCTCCGTAAGTCCCTGACAAACAGATATACACAAACAATAAGATGGGCGGCCTCAGCGCTTATTATAGTAGTACTACCTGGCTTTCCTGGTCCAGCCCGGGTCATCAAGGTTTCAGCTCAATGGGTTCATCCGCAAAGGAATCTATAAAAAACATAGGGTCAAGATTTGCACAAACTTTGACGTTTATATATCTAAGATACTACTCATTTATTAGTCAGCTGCGAAACTTTACAATTTACAATAACCGATTGCGATTGGAGCGCGCTTTCCGAGGCCGATCATAACGCTGTGAACCCTATTTGGGGCTGTATCGAAGCGGTGCCTTGGTGGTTTTGGAAGCGGATTTAAACATGTAGTAATACTCTCAACCTAGTCCACATTTATGCAAAGAAACCCGGGAAATTATGTGAAGGGAAGCAGGGAGCTACCCCAGGTGGCTCCCAGGTGGCGCGGGAGCCACCTAATTTCGAAAAACACTTACCATTTTTTAAATTCACATAAGTTTCTCATAATTCTTCATACTTTTTTTGTGCTCATGGTCCTCCAACTACACAGCAAATTTGGTGCCATATCGTTACTTGTGCATTGAAAACGAGCCTATTTTGTTATTTTCCTCTTACAAGAATTGCGATTTGAATTCCCGCCTGCGGGCAGGCTAGCGATCAGAGCACAGAATCTTCACATTGCTGGAATCTAAGTTCATAGGACAGTAGCATCAACAAGGAATGATGAATAAAGAATGATACTTAAAATACGACTTCCCCTTTGCTTTCTCGGGCCAAAAACGATATCCAGCTTGTAAAAGCGCCACCCTCGCCGGGCCCTGGCTGTA